TATGATAGATTCTATTTTGCCATCCCAATTTCTTGTTTTAAACAACTGAAGACATCTGAAATATTTTTCAACATTATAACTAATTCAATCGTTGCTTCTTCTGGTATATTTTTGATTAGTAACTTGATCAAAACTTTTATCAGGTTTGTGTTTACATATCCGTCATTATTTGCTTTTTCCTTTCCAGAGTATAATTTGACAACAGTGTTCCGGAAGGGGGTTGATCGTTGATGTTCATGACCCGGATACATTGTTCTTCAGAACGACATGGAAAATATTGTCCAAACAACAAACGCGTCTGGCTGTAGTTGTGTAGTATTGGAGCACACATATTCATTGACTTCAAATTTTGATGGCTCTCGAACAACGGTCTTTGATGGGACGTCGAATTCCGTTTTTGCAGGAATCTCTACCTCTCTGTTGGATTCTTGTCGCACATCCATTTTACACCAACATCATTAGTAACCAGTGCCACTGCAGCACAGTCATTCCCAATGGTGATTTTTGTCTGCTCGAACTTCAACGAAACGTTGTTGAATTTCAACCATTCCAAGCCCAGCAATATTTCAGATACACTGTTTGAAAGCAAAATTGATGCTGGTTTGGAGTGTTTGTCGACTTCGATCAAAAGTTTAATCTGTCTTGTGATTGGTATTTCTGTGTTGTTGGCTGCTTTCAGAGATTTTGTCGTCAGCTGAGTTTTCGATACATTAACCATCAACGTTGGGAGGATTGAGACGCTGCTGTCACTCTCTAGCAAGCCCAGCTTTCTTATTCCATCTATGCTGATTGGCTGCCTGTTAATTGGTTTGATCGAAACACGTTCGACTTTGTCTTCTGCGGGCACTTAGATGAAAAATGACCTGACTGACCGCATCTGTAACAATCGTCATCTTTCTTGGTTTGTGTAGTACTTCGAGGACTACGATGGAACTCTTGGAACATCTGGCGAAGCTGTGTCATCTGTCGCTCTAACGTTTTCAACTCACTAATTAAATTTTCTGATTTCCCGACCTGAATATTTGACCCGTTAGATAAACTAACCAACGATGTTGATGTCGTTGATGTTCTTCGGTTTTTTCTCTCTCTGACTTTTAGTTCCAGCTTACCATTTTCCAAGACTGATAGGAAAAAATCTTTGGCAAACTGTCGTGTCAACGTTGACTGTTCTTTAGGGTATGCAAATGACATCAAGCGTTTTGTCACTTATGTTGACTCACATTCTGATTCAACTACATTCAATGTATCTTTTTGACAATCTAATTTTTTACAAAAAAAATGATATTTTATTTGTTTTGTTTTTGGTTTCTTGATGTCTTCATTTCTTTCTAAATTTAAATCTATATTTGCAGAGTTTAATTTTCTTTATAACAAATTTTTAAATTTTTCCAGGCTTGTCAAAGTTGCCTTTTTTCATCACCAAATATGTTAATCCACATAAGACTTATAAAAGTAGCTGCAGCTGGTATTAATGATTGGCTTAAAAGATTGGCAACAGCTGATCCAGTATGTTGGTGTTTGATAGTATAAAAGTTCAACATGCATTCTGGTCTAGCTTTTTTATGATTGAAAAGGGATGCGATATAGCAAGAAAAGATACCTCCAACTTTTTTTTAGTCCACATTTCCATACCAAATGTAATGCAGTTTGACGTCTTTAAAACAATTTTTCATTAGCTGTGTAATTAAATAATTTTGTTCTTCCTAGAATTAAGAATACATTTTTTATCATATGATATATAAAATTTTAATGTAAAATGTCTAAAATTTTTAATTAGAAAATTATTTAATTTAATTAAAAAAATTAACCTAGAGTTTTCGGTTTTGGATTTAGAGTTTTGAACATTCTGTATTTTTTTCTTTCTAAAATTGTCAGCGGCAGGTCTGCATCTGAAAAGCATCAACAATAGACTGTATTTTTTTGTTGTACTCAATCGACTTTTCAGCACAGTATTTATTGCTGCTATTCTTGACTGTTTCTTGAAAAAATTTCAGTGTTACGCACTAATTTGTTTTTCTTATTTCTTCTTTAGCAACTTTTTTTTTTATTTTCCCTGTTCCTGTTCAACAATTCTTGATACTCTTTAAGATGGTTTGTTTCCATGTGTAGTGTATGTATCTTTACGGTTGTTGGATTTTTTCGTTAATTATTTTTTTGGCAATTCCCTTCATTACATTAACATATGTTTAATTGATATTTAAAATAATCCCATACTGGACTATTTCTACGACGGCCTGATGATCCTTCTCTTTCATTACTTGTTTCTCACTTAATTGAACCTAAACGCTCGGTTTACGATCGTCTTCTTTTTCTCCCTTCTTCTTAACTCGTGTTAAACACACTTTTGCTATATCTGCTTTTGCATTTTCTGGCCTTTTTCTCTGGAACTCTCTACCTACTTTTCTGACTACTTCTCTATCACTTACGAAGGATCTCAAGACCCATCTGTTTGCAAAATTCATTGAGAAGCGCTGTTGAACATCGCATATAAAGCGCTTTACAAGCTAATTGATTGATTGATTGATTGATTGATTGATTGATTGATTGATTGATTGATTGATTGATTGATTGATTGATTGATTGATTGATTGATTGATTGATTGATTGATTGATTGATTGATTGATTGATTGATTGATTGATTGATTGATTGATTGATTGATTGATTGATTGATTGATTGATTGATTGATTGATTGATTGATTGATTGATTGATTGATTGATTGATTGATTGATTGATTGATTGATTGATTGATTGATTGATTGATTGATTGATTGATTGATTGATTGATTGATTGATTGATTGATTGATTGATTGATTGATTGATTGATTGATTGATTGATTGATTGATTGATTGATTGATTGATTGATTGATTGATTGATTGATTGATTGATTGATTGATTGATTGATTGATTGATTGATTGATTGATTGATTGATTGATTGATTGATTGATTGATTGATTGATTGATTGATTGATTGATTGATTGATTGATTGATTGTTTACTGGTCTTATTTTGAATTGACTATTGTAGTTTACTTTATTTTTAGCTTCCTGATTCTACTTTATACTCTATAACAGTTAAATAAAGCTTTCAATTCTGCGTCGGATAAAAATCAATAAAATGTACCATTTAAATGATAGCACCAAAATATTTACACCCGTATGCATTGAAACATTTGGTCCAACTGATTGGCAAACACACATGTTTATCAATTAACCAACAGCAAAAGTTATTGAGGTTTCCGGCATTCAAGGAGACAAACGTTATATAAAGCAATATATATCAATGTTATAACAGAAATTCAATGCTTTTTGTATTTTGAAGGGAACAACGAAATAACTTTGTGTGTAAGAACCCCAAACAATAAAAACACTTATCAACAATGGCTCGGGCCATATACACATACATACATATGCACATACACACATTCATTTCTATGTATAGATAATTAGGCAACTCTAGGTTTTTTCAAAAATTTGTATTTTGTAAAAACGCTTGAAAGCTTTTATAGAGCATAACAAGATATTTGATGCCAATAACTGGAGAAAATAAAACTTTAAATCAAGTAATAAATCGTATATCAAACCATTAACTCTTGAACAAAATGTACCAACGCCCCTGGGTGGATTCGAACCACCAACCTTTCGGTTAACAGCCGAACGCGCTAACCGGTTGCGCCACAAAGGCTTGCGTGTGATGCGATAAGTAAGCATATAGATATAGTATCTTACCATATATAACAATGAATGAAGCCTGGATATTGAATGATTTATTTAAGTGTAATCGATAAGCTCAACTGTTGAACATTTATTTTTTACACTATTATTTATATTGAATTAATTATAATAATTCAAATAATACTAGTAAAAGAAATTCAAAGAAACAACATTTTTATAAATTTGCAGATAGAAAAGTTTATTTTTCAGTTTAACGACGATTTTTATAGAGAAAGAATTGTTCCGTCTTAGCGAAATGTTAACATAACGCGCACACATCATTTGAAAATTTCTGCATTTTATATACTTGATTTATTTATTTATTGTTTAATTAATTGATAATTTTATATTTACTGGTTTTGATTTATTGTCTTATTGTTTGTTCAATTGCTTGTTTTAGTTTTTCTATCATTGTTTAATTGATTGCTTGATGGTATACTTGTTTTATAGGTATATCGTTTAATTTTGGTGTTTGTTAGGTTTATTATATAAATTTTAAATAATTTTTTTGATTATTTGTTAATATATTGTGTAATTGATTTGACGTATTATTGATTATTTGGTTGTTTTTTATTAGTAGTTGACTGATTATTTCGTTATATGGTTTATTTTATTTATTTTAGAGACTAAATTAGAATTTTGATTGATTTCTTTAAGTAAATTATTTTTGTTTGGTACATTATTTTTTTATTTTATCGTAAATTCTGTTGACCAATTTTCTAGATAATAGTGCTTGCTAATACACTCATAATAATAAAAATTAATATAATACTAATCAAAATGTTGAGCAGACTGAAAATGGTAACTACAGACCTGACGGATACACAGTGGTTCCTTAAAACCAAGGACGCTGCTTGGCGTGGGACGTAACTTTTTCCCACACAATGGCTAAAAGATTATATAGATTTTAAGTCAACGGAGGCTGGGACGGTTACGATAAAAGAGTCGGATAAAAATCAATAAAATTTACCATTTAAATGATAGCACCAAAATATTTACACCCGTATGCATTAAAACATTTGGTCCAACTGATTGGCAAACACACACGTTTATCAATTAACCAATAGCAAAAGTTATTGAGGTTTCCGGCATTCAAGGAGACAAACGTTATATAAAGCAATATATACCAATGTTGTGACAGAAATTCAATGCTTTCTTGGTAAGAACCCCAAACAAAAAAAAAACATTTATCAACAATGGCTCGGGCCATACACACATACATACGCATATACATACGCACACTCATTTCTATATATAGATTATTATGCATCTCTAGGTTTTTGTAAATGAGTTTGCAAAAACGTTTGAAAGCTTTTATAGAGCATAAAAAAGATATTTGACGCTAAAAACTGGAAACTTAAAATCCAGTAACAAATTGTATTTCAAAACCATTAACAAAAAGTAGTAACCCCCCTAGGTGGATTCGAACCACCAACCTTTCGGTTAACAGCCGAACGCGCTAACCGGTTGCGCCACAAAGGCTTGCATATTGTACGAAAAGTAAGCATATAGATATAGTATCTTACCAATAACAATGAATGAAGCCAGGATATTGAATAATTTTGCTAGTACGAACTTCTACTAACAAGACACCTTGTTTCATTCAATTGACAAATTTCACGTAAATGAAAAAAATCAAATTCTAAAGACATAAAAAATCAAAAAACCAAATAAATCTCAGCATATTTTTGATCTTTTGAAACATTTCGTTAATTGAATTTGCGCGTTATATTTTCGGTTTGAGTAATGTTTAATTTTCTTGTTTTACGACCGATGAATTTGTATATTTTTTTCTCGTACATGAAAGAAGCATTTGATACAGCGAACTAGTTTATCTCGTTTTACTATATCAGATGAGCTTGCTGAAAACAATGATGAAACTCTAAAAGTGCGATTTAGCAAATGTTTAGCTCTTGAGGAGAGCGCAGGCATAAGTGATACGGCACAGTCGGTTGTGTTTGTGTGAGGTGTAACAGATCACTTTGAAATTATCGAGGAACCAATAGACAAGGTTTGTATAAGTTCAATAACTACTTGACGTAATATTTGCGAACACGTAATGATCAACTTTAACCAACAAGATTATGGGCTTAACAACTAATGGGGGATTCTCAATGCCAGGAAAAACAAATTAGTTTCATAAAAATATTTTTAGATGCTATTGGACCAACATGCAAACAAATTATATCACTTTTCGGAAGCACGTACTGCAACAGTTTTTTCCAAAATAAAATTCATTAAAAATAGACACAGAAGTCAGCTAACGGATGAACATCTGGCTAGTCAGCATCGAGTCGGTTAAAGCTAACATTTATAAATTGTACAATTGGTCAAAGATTCAATTTTCCCATTCAAAAAATAAAACAATTTGTATTTATATTCACTGATATTATATATATATATATATATATAGAATATATATATATATATATATATATATAGAATATATATATATATATATAATATGGGGTGAGAATATGTATCACATCATGTATAAATTTCTCATGAAATATTTTTGTCAACGATGACTGTTGTTTTCCTTGTTTCGTACAGTAAAAGTGGCCCGCCATTGAAAAATGTGGCACACCGCTGTATTGCTTACTAGACTTTTAATTCTAGCATTAATTAACAATGTAGTTGACTAAAACTGAGGTTTGGAATGATTAGCTATCAGTAGATTTTTATGTGGTTTAAGCAGCAGTTTTTAAATGTTATCTTACAAGCTAATTTCTAAAATATCTAGCATAATATTTTTGCAAATCCGGTGTACAATCTAGAAAAATTAAAATTTTCAACAACCTTCAACCACATATTATTTTCTTGAATCTTTTTTTTTGTTGCTAATGGTTGCTAAATTCAATATATGATTTCAGGTTCTTGCCTCATTATTGAATATGAAAATAAAATGACTACCGCCTAACTGAGCTATGAGTATTTTATTTAGCAAAATCTGATCAGCTCTTCCACTATGTTCCAAACTGTGCAGGTCCAATTTTTTCGACCTGTTACTGTACTCAAAACCGTAATGTGAGAGAGTTGACAAGACCGCAACATAAGCCATTGCAAATCACTAATTTCATATACCAATTATATAATCAAATATAAGTTTAGCAGAATTAAGTTTATTTGTTAAATTGCGTATTTATCTAATTAAAAATAAGCATAGCTCAATAAATAGAAGAAAACCATTAAAACAATTTATAGAATCTAAACAGCAAGGAAATTAAATTTAAAAATTTTATTGTTTACAAACACGTATTCATTTTATTTAAAATCAAGCCTGAAATTAAAAAACAAGTATAGGAAATAAAGAAATGTCACACCTTACTGACCATACACTTCCAACTCGCAAAGAGCCATCAAGTGATCGGTATCGTTAGCAGACTGTACAATAACATATCTGTGTTTATACGTGTAACTGTTGCAGAGAGTCACAAACCAAGAAGCAGTTTCCGTTACTTTTGGATACTGTCCACATAGGTCGTAGTCCCATCTGTTTATTTTCGTTTGCAAGCTGTTGTTCAAACCAACGATGTGGTTGGATAGTCTCTCTCCTGGAAGGCAAATAAAATACAAATAATGCAGTAGTTCAACGACCTCGTAACTTAATGTTGGACATTTTAAGTGAAGGTAGCCAATTATTCCATCTAATTGTGGCTCTAAGTGGTTGCGTAACAAATTATACAGGCTGTGTATTTAAAACGCTCGTTAAATGTAAAACAACAAAAAATGAAACCCCAACCCAGCAGCAAATTTAAAAATTTTACTCAATAAAAGTTTGTTTATGGAAATAGAAATATTGCTCACCGCAGCAATCAGCTCGATTAACCAGCAGAACATAATAGACGGTGAAGACATCCAACAAATCAACTGCCATCCAGTTTGGAGGTCCCGTCTTGCTATGGAAACAACTGCCCTCTAAGTAAACAGCCGCTCTGTTGCCATCAACGGCCTTGTTCGCTGTGGAGAAATTTGCCAAGTAAACTGAACTGCCTTTTGCAGGTTTTTTGAGTGCCAAATTTTTGAAGTTGTCTTTATGGGTATCATTTTTTGTACATAAAATAAAATTTAATAGATCGAATTGAAAATTCAGTAATTAAAACGTAATTTATGATTTATCATAATTGTGCAAAGTGAATGAAACATACTTCGAAAGTGGTTGTCAGAACCCTCCATCGATTGAAATACAATAACATCGTTTCAGACGTTTGATGAGTTATCGATAAATATTTATTGAAGTTAAATAACCAAAATATCAATTTTATTTCAATAAAAAAATTCAAAATTGAAAAAATATATATCAAATTGAAGTATCATCTAAGGGTATCATACCTTAAAAAAATATTCACAATTTTTGTCTTCTGAGTTTCCAACATGAAAATGTTTTGCTAAGTAGGAAAATATCTGACAAGCACTTTCATTGGAAAGATAATTGAATGATGAACAGGAGGAGAACTGCGTGGCGCACATCAGAGCGCAGTGCAGCTTGTTGCTTCCAGGGAAAGTACTTTTGCTCTGAAAATCTTCTGAACAAACGAGAAATTCTCCATTCCACAACCCATACTGCCAGATAGAGAGCTTGACATTTTCAGCTCTCGACCGCATCAATAGATAGCAGTGGACACAAAATTGAATAACGAACGATGCACTTGCAAGCAATTTGTAATATGGTTTTGTCGGCAATTTAGGCATCGATAAATATTTATTGAAGTTAAATAACCAAAATATCAATTTTATTTCAATAAAAAAATTCAAAATTGAAAAAATATATATCAAATTGAAGTATCATCTAAGGGTATCATACCTTAAAAAAATATTCACAATTTTTGTCTTCTGAGTTTCCAACATGAAAATGTTTTGCTAAGTAGGAAAATATCTGACAAGCACTTTCATTGGAAAGATAATTGAATGATGAACAGGAGGAGAACTGCGTGGCGCACATCAGAGCGCAGTGCAGCTTGTTGCTTCCAGGGAAAGTACTTTTGCTCTGAAAATCTTCTGAACAAACGAGAAATTCTCCATTCCACAACCCATACTGCCAGATAGAGAGCTTGACATTTTCAGCTCTCGACCGCATCAATAGATAGCAGTGGACACAAAATTGAATAACGAACGATGCACTTGCAAGCAATTTGTAATATGGTTTTGTCGGCAATTTAGGCATAATTAATTAATAACGGATTCTTCTTCTTTTCTTTCTCGTGCCTTATCCTTTCAAAATCCGATCTTATACACTTAGTGATAATATTCAACAAATGACACAAGGACTTAACGAATGTTATTCGTATAACGGTTAATATTTTGTTAAAAAAAAGAAAATTTGAACATTTAATCAAATAATGCATGAAGAAACTCATCATGCACTAAACAAACAACGTAGAAACTCATAAATTTATTCAAACTCATTCAAGAAAAAATATTCTACAAACGTTTGTTGAGTTGCAAATAATATAAAATGTAGCAGAAGGCGATCAATAGACTAAGACAATAAACTTTTCCTTTCAAAATTTCTTTATACTTTTTTTTAACTCGAAAAAAATAATTTAGCTAATTAAAATTGAAAAAATTTGTATAAAATTTTTAGACAGAACTACAAATATTTTTTAATTAAGGTAAATTAAATACATTTATCTCATTTGTGGTCATTTTATTCTAAAAAAGGTCATGTCATATATCATCTGTTTTACTCATTTTCAATTGCATCTCTCAAACAATATTTTTTCATTCATATATAATGTGCAATATCAATGGTAGCTCAACTGCGGTGCTCTGAAGGATTATTTGGAGCCCTCGGTAAATGTACAAGAGTGCCCTTATATCGTAAATAATTGTTATCGTACCGTCTTTTAATTTAACGACAACTAATATGAAAGACCGTGTACAACGTTGCAACAAATTGCATATCCCTCCAAGTTACGAACGATATGACTGACTGACGGATTTGGAATTTATAAACAACGGACAGTTGAAACTGACTTGTCTGAAGGCAGCGAGCCTTCAACAGCATTAAAAAATTTGCATACAAACGACTGTATAAAGTCCAATGTACGTAAGGTTTTAAAAAATGTCAAAAAGAGAAAATGTTGGAAATAAAATGTTTCAAAAAAATATTTAAATAATTTTAACTTTATAATGCGGAAAACGATCAATTACATGTCTCCAAAATATTTTCGCCTGATATATCACCAAAACACTTTTCCATCCATCATGAAGAATCAAAACTAAAGTTGCAGTTTGTAATGTTGTGATGAACTGAAGTTTAATCTGAATAATATCTTTAGTTAGTAAAACTGCATCAATGTGTGGCACCACATAAGACTCTTATTAATGAATCTTTATTGGTCCATATTGAGGAGTGTGCCATTTAGGTCAAAGAACAAGAAGCCAATAAAAATCAAGCGATCAAAGTCGGTGAACCAATAAAATCACGATGTTTGAATTCAAAATTATTCAATAACAATATCTAATAAAAAATAAAAATAATAAAAATGTTTTGTAATAAAAATTCTTTCAAAAGAACATTGAATACTTATAAATTATAACAAGAACGATGAGAAGGCGTATAAATATATCTCAAATGTGTTATCGATCTCAAAAGTTCATTTTATCTGATTCAGTTTGGATTTGATTTGCGACTGCAGTCAACAATAACAACAACAACCACAAATACGATTTCATTATCAGCTTCAACAACAAGAATATATATCGTTTTCTATTTTTATAGTCAACTACTACAACAACAAATCTGCAACAATCACATTTACCTTACAAAATGAATAAAAGGAGCAACAGATTCCTGCTACCTTTGTTGTCGCAACAACATCAACAGCCAGCTTTGTACGAGTTCATCCGACTTAGCAACGGTCGCTATGATGCGGTAGCAACACGTGACATCAATGCTGACGTCATCATTGGAGAGTTTAAGTGGGTGGAAGATATGATGAGGTATTGGGAGGAGGAGAAAAATGATGTTGACGACAATAATGGTGATGATTATGATGTAACAAGAAGAGATAAAAATAACTTTTCTTTCAGCATCTCTTGTCTCATTGGTGGGAATCCAGCCAATCATAAAAGAGATGAACGGTCGAAACCAAAACCATTCCACTATATTCCTCCTGCTACAGACTTTTTCAACCAGAATATTCTCATCATCTTCTCCGGCAGCAACAACAACTCAATAATGTTAATGAGAAGCAGAAGATTTATTCAGAAAGGCGAGGCGTTAAGAGCCTGGTTCTCCGCAGACGTAGCCATCTTCCTGAACATCTGTTTCATTCTTCCACACCACAACAACAATGGCAACGGATACAGATGCCATGTTTGTGGCAAGTGCTGGGAATATCCAAATCAATTGAAAGCACATTTGTATGTAAAACATAAAAATATTTATTGCAACAACTACTTTGGAGACAACAACAACAACAATGTTTTTAAAATTAGCAGCCACAACCCTCCAAAAACAGCACAAGGCTTCAAATGCATTCGCTGCGGTAAAGTTTTTTCACGAAAATACGATTTAAAGATTCACATGCGAACGCACACAGGCTTCAAACCGTTAAAGTGTCGCTTTTGTGGGCGAGCATTCAGCGACCCAAGCAATCTCAACAAACACACGCGACTGCACGCTGAGATGAGGGCTCCGTACACATGCGAGGATTGTGGCAAGCTGTTCGTTCGACGGAGAGATCTCCAGAGGCATGTCAAGTCCAAACATTCCAATGTTACCAGTAAAACCGCTACTACTACTGCTGCTGCTACTCCTGCTGACTCTTTCGACAATGACTGGCTTACATCATCCAGCGAGGAACCAACTGAAGTGAAAGAAAAAAATGAGGAGCTGATGGAAATTTACGATGCGGATGATGCAGAAAATGATGAAGATGGAGAAATTGATGTACTGAAATGAAATGTTTTCCACAATAATTTTATTTTGTTAGACAGCTTAATGTTTTATTAGGACGATGTATTTTTTTGCATTATATTTTAATTATATTTCTTATCATTGTCACCTAACTTATTTTTTGTTACTATGATTGTTTGTTTTTTTTATTGTTATTAATATTATTATTATGATTTTTGAAAGCAACGAATGAAATGTATCTTACAAATTATATTCAATATTAAAAATACGAGCATACTTCGAGTGTATTCATATGCAATTACTTGCTTTCCACTAGATTTTATTGCAACAGGAACGAAGCTTGATTAATTATTTGCAATTTTGGCATCTTTGTGTTAGAAAACAAAAATTTTTTTAAAAATTAATAAATCAGAAAAAATTTAAATATTTGCAATAAATAATAAAGACTAAAAAAATTCTTATTGGACGACTTTGAAAAGTGTGCCAACCAATAAAAATCAGTTAATCAAAGGCGGTGAACCAATAAAAATCTATCATCGAATGTCAAACCGTCCAATAAAAATATCGATTTTAAAACTTCAAACAACCATGCTCGGAAATATTCTGACTAATAATTTAAAAATTTTATTTTCATATTATTCATAAACCTTGAAATTTCATATATGCTCGTATAATGTTTGTGAAGGGGAATTCGGTAACTTTTTAAAATTGAATATAGGTATTTAGTAAGAATTTTAGGCAGGGTGGTAATTTAAAAACATGAAATTTAAAAAAATTCCGCTCGAATCATCTTCAAAATTGCAGTCCTTATCTTCAAAACCCTTTTATTAAAATCCCCAACATAACTATACGACTTCATATCTAGACATGAACATACTAGATACCGCAGCAGCTCAACAGGTTTCCTAAACATTCCCGTTGCCGGATCCCGCCTGGCTGACCGCGGTTTTCGTCACGCTGCTCCGTGTGTCTGGAATGCGTTACCTCCTGAGTTAAGACGATATTCCTTGTTGAGTCTTTTCAAAAAGGGATTAAAGACTCATCTTTTTAACACGGGCTCATAAATGTTTATATTATTATTATTATTATAAAACAGTTATAAAAAATTATCTAATGAACATGCATAACTTATATACTGCTAAATAGATCAATTTCAAAATTAATTCTAATATTGCAATTAGCTAACCATTATAACAACTGTATCTAACAAGTTGAGGATTCTGGTGGGCTATAATGTTAATGATAGCGTGGCTGATGTGTAACATACTCAATTGAAATAATAAAAAACAAACTATCAAAACCAAGTAGGTTTAAACTTATTCAGCTTTTATTTTTGATTCTACATGACTGGTAGTAAATGATAACTCCTCCGATGCAAACTTGATGAAACAATGGCAGGTTAAAAATTTTACAGGTGAGGCTAAAGTTCTGTTTTTACCATCAAATGCTTCCCATTGAAATTATTATGGCATTTTTCAAAATCTTTTGAGGAAGAGTCTTTATGGCACTTTGGCGGGTTTCACAAATTGTTAGAGAATGTTCGATTCATTAATATTTCGCCTTTGTTATCGAATTATAAATTGGACAATTTAAGACAATAAAACAGTTTTAATAAATTAAACAAAACCAGCAGTAACTATCTAATGCAGAGGTGTGCAAACATTTTGCTACAAGGGTCACATTGAGAACTATTTTATCTTTGAAGGGCCGCATATGTACTTAAATAGCAAATTTTTTCGGCCACGGGAAGATTTTTTAAAGATTCGTGATTTTTTTTGTTTATAATGCCTGGCTGACGACCTTTATGGCGAACAAGGCCTCGCGAGCCTCATAAAATAGCTTCGCGGGCCGCATAGAATAGCTTTGCGGGCCACATAGAATATTTAGTTTGCCCACCCCTGATCTAGTGTGAACGGAAAAAGGGAAAAGTGAAGCAAAGAAAAAGTAGTAATCAAATTCAAACATAGATATAAAAGTTATTAAACGTTAATAATAACGATGAATTATTTAGTCCCCTATATCTTCTTCAAACTTGCAGCACAATGTCAACCATGTATCATCGCTTATCTCGTTAGTACCAGAATTACAATCATCGATACACCAAACTTAATAATCGCAACTTCTACAACCGTCACCAGCATCGATACCACAGCAACTGCACGTAACATATATATATACACTTTTATGCGATTTTTTAAACATAATAATGACTTGTTATCACCTGTTTTAGAAAACATCATTTAAAATAGAATGACAAGACAACAACATACTATTTATATCTACCCAGCAAGACTAAAACTGTTGCACGTAAGTTTATTTCACAGTGGACCTAGAACTTGGAACGAAATAATTCTGTGACATCAAAAATATTTTGAATTTATCACATTTCAAAATGCACTTAAATTTTAGTTTGAATCGTCATCCTGTTTCTTGATTGTTGGTTTATCAGATTGTTAATGGTGTCCTTTATTATATTTTTTAAATAAAACCACAAATTTGTATAAATTTAATAATTTCAATCCACGAGAACTATTGTTTTGCTTAAAAGAATCTGATCTTTTAAACATAGACTCTGCAGGTCTTCCCGATTTTTTTTCAGCAAATAAAACAAAACGAAATCATTCAGTCAGTAAGTTATTTATGCATAATATATATTTTAGAGTAAAATGAAAACATAACAACACAGAATAAAAAAAGTTTCAATCTTTAAATAACGATATTGAAATTCCTCAAAACAATTTTAATTTTTTCTAATAAGAAATAAAACGAAATATTTAAAAAAAGCCAATGCAACTAATACATATTTTTTAATTTGAGCTAGTTAAATGTATTTGTAAAAACTGATAAATTCAAGATCACCACAGTTTTTGGTGATACTTTTACGATTACGTAAATTGTGATCATATTTGTGGAAGTATTTTCTGGACTGACACAAGTTCATAAACGACTTACAAGATAAATATTCAGATACGTTATAAGGTAAGTAAATTTCTTCACCTAAAAATTTGTCTCTGATCAGTGGAAATATAACATCAGAATTGAGAATTTGTTTATAAGATGATTTATCTTCATCAATTACAACTGTTCCAGATTTTACAAATACAAACACGTCCACGAACGGAAAGTTGTAGAGATCGTATACCTTTGTGAAGTTCACAGAATCATAAAGTTTGTACATTCCATCATAATAATAGTTAAATTTTGGTTCAGTTAATTTGAACGTTTTTGTTGTACGATTAAATCTTTCAACTTCTTCACCAAATGTAACTGTAAAAATATGAAGATCATCTTGTGAGATGACGACATCAATGTCATCGTCCCACGGGATAAGTCGTTTGTCGTGTCGAACTTGTCCAATCAACGATCCTCCTGATAGATAAAATGTGGCATTTGATTTTTTGGCCACATGTACAAAGAACCTGTAAAGTTCTAACAACGTCAGCAAATCATCTCTGTGCAGTTTAGGTAGAAAATACAGTTCGTCGTGGGAGCACCCATCTACCTCCATCTTGAACAGGTCTGTACTGTTCTGATGCACGGGAAACTTCAACGTGAGCATTGCGAAATGTAATTCCTTCATTTCAGTATATTCGACCACGTTTCGTTCCAGCAAATTATGAAAACATGAAGACGGTGAACTCATGTTCATTTTTTCTAAATGTAGGCCAAGATCATAAAATTTTTGAAACCATAAACAGAAAAAAACAGATAATATAAATGAAACAATAAAGAATCGAAAAAACAAAACTTTCAGCATTTTATTAAATTTTGTAAATTTATCATCAAAACGATAATTACGCGCAACCGACAGACGCCGACAATCAAATGACAGTGAAGATTTCAACGCTTCGTAAACTTGACCTATATGTATAAAAAATCATAAATAATAGAGATAGGAATAAAAAGAGCAGACAGTTATATATATATATATATATATATGTATTATTAGATTATTTATATATAAATCTAATAATATATATATTATTATTATTAGATTATTTATATATAAAGCGCCCTTTATTGTTCTCAAAGGCGCTAACAATGTAAAAGTTGATTAAATGCGCTAATGCAAAAGTTGATTAAATGTTTCACTTCAATATATATATATATATATATATATATATATATAAGAGCTTTTGAACAACTTCCAGGAAGTTTATTTTAATGCCTACAGTATAAAAACATGCAAGAATATTCGTTTACTTTTGTGCCTACAATGTATATGAACTTTCTCTTTAAAAGCATACCAAAATTGTGATTTTAACTAGACAAAATTTATTAAATGATTTATGACAGTTATTATTTTTAAAACTTATTTTTAGTATTTCACTTTAAATCATATTAATTTTTATAATTCTAATAATTAACAGTCCTATTAATATACATGTTAAAACGCGTGCAAATAAATGCATGGAAGTTTACTTAATGTCTGCATGATACGTTTTTTATGTTAAAATTGGTTAAAATGCGTGCAAATAAATGGATGGAAGTTTATTTTAATGTCTACATGCTAAGCAAGTTTTATGTTAAAATTTTAACTTAAAAAACGTGCAAATAAATGCAGGGAAGTTTTATTTAATTTCAACCGCACATAACCATTCAAGCATGTGATTTTACTTTAATGTCTACAATTTCTCTCTAAAAGCCTACCAGAAATACGATTTTAACCATACAAAGTTATTAAATAATTGAAGACTGTTAAAAAGATGTTTAAACTAACCTTTACAACAAAAAAAACTACGAATTTACTATAGGAATGCAAAGACATCACACCTTGAATTTATAAATTTGATGCCTGTTCAATTTTTTCTCTTTCCTTCTTCTTGTTTCTTTCTAATTTTTAATAATTATATTAAATGATGTTGTATACAAATAATAAAAATATTAATTTAAAACAGGATGCACACACAATTTCATCATAAATGAATTCATTGATAGGCATCATGAAAATAACGTTCCATGCATGCACACAATCATACACAAACATACATTCGGCTAACTGTTACGATGGATGTTGATACGTTGATAGCGCAGCCAATCTGCGAATGGGCAACTGTTCTCGTTAAATAGTTGTCAGCCAATAGAGCCTGGATGGAGCATATATTATTTCTTTTGTTTCGATATCGAAATGTTTTAAAAACAAAAAACATTATTGGCATCCATTGATAAAAAATGATCGTCACGTTGAACAAGTGTTTTGCGAGGATTAAATATTTTATAAGTAGGATCGGAGCTGGGTTTTTGTTCAAAGTGTCAATGAGTTCGTTGTGAATGTGTTTATGTGTGTACGCATGTGTGTACGTATGTGTGTAAGTAAGTATGTATGTATGTGAGTGTATGTATGTGTGTGTATGTATGTATGTGTGTGTATGTATGTATGTGTGTGTATGTGTGTGTATGTGTGTGTGTGTGTGTGTGTGTGTGTCTGTCTGTATGTATGTATGTATGTTAAAACCAAAACATGATGAGTGACACTGAACCGTCAAACATCAAGTAACAAATGGATTAACACTTTGATTTGTCGTTAATTGCACATGTCGGCATTCAGTTGGATATTTTCAAGCACACAGACACGCAGGAACCGCTGCAACAAGCACGAAATGTGGTTAGTTGCGAACAACAGTTCCCTGCTGTCGCCTGATCTGACGCTGATCATTTTACATATTGCCTTAAGAAATTTAAGGGTGTTGGGGTCCATCGGGCCGAGAACCTCGATACATATTGGCAAGAATTCCATCGAGGAGAGGGCGTTCCCATATGTATGTATGTATGTATGTATGTATGTATGTATGTATGTATGTGTGTGTGTGTGTGTGTGTGTGTTTGTATGCGTGTATGTGTGTATGCGTGTATTCGTGTATGCGTGTATGCATGTACATTGTACAAGACCTCAATCTTCCAGGTCTCCAGGTCAAACCTTCATTGTTTTGATGAATAAACGAATTGTGAATTGTGAATGCATGTATGCATGTATGCATGTATGTATGTATGTACGTAGGTATGTATGTATGTATGTATGTATGTATGTATGTATGTGTGTATGTATGTTAAAACCAAATCAGCGATGAGTGACACTAAACAGTCAAACATCTGAAAAAATCGGTTAACAATTGATATCTCGTTATTCGCTCACGTCGGCGTTTAATTGAACATTTTCGGTAACACAGACGCGCAAAAACCTTTGCAGCAAACAAGATATATGATTCATGGCGAAAAATAGCTCTCTGCTGTCGCCGGACCTGCCACTTATCATTTTGCAAATCTTTTTAAAAAATATTGAAGTGTTGTTGTCCATCGGGCCAAGAACCTCGATGCAAACAGGTAAAAAATCCATCGAGGGCAGGGCACCTTCATATTTTTTAAACTTTTCATCCGATGCCCTGGTTGCGGCCAAACCACTTTCTTTGCTGGTTAAGTGCACGTACCGTTCCGCTAATGTGCCCGGAACGGTTACGTCCCACGCCAGGCATCTACCGGCTCTCCAAGGAATCAACGTGCAGCCATCCGGACGTTTTCCATCCAACGCGGAAATTCCCGAGGGCTCTTTAAGAACGGGTATTGAAGCCTTGGAGAAAAGCCGGCAGATGTAATCATTTAATGCGGAATGGCGCAACTGACGACCTCCACCTAAACGACAGACCAGGCCGTGGTGACCGAGTTCGTTAGCTTCCGCACCGCACCTACACAGATATTTATGGTGGACCGTTAAACCCAGACGAAAACCAATAGCCATCCTGACCGTCTCATCATCCAGTCGGGTACCCACCGATGAGTTGGGCCAGGATCTCAACCAACCACAGCTCGCGTCGCTTGACGCGGCCAGCAGACGAGCCGAAGTTGCATCGTCGGGACTAGAGGACAACAAAAACTGAAAAGTTGTTTTGTATGCCTCTTCCAGCAACCGAGCTTGAAAATGTTTTGCTCGGTTGGGTGATGCTGGTGGGGTACCAAGATTCGTGAAAGATTGCCGGAGCAGGGCAGACTGCAGGTCGAGCGTGGCAGCGGCAGATGATTTGTAAACAATAGGTGCCAGCTGGACCACGCTTAACAACCCCAGTCCCCCAAACCGAACCGGCAACTGGGCCTGAGACCAGCCCCTGTCTGTCAACTCAACATTGCATAGGGCTGACAAAGCTGACCTCAGGGCGCCATCGAATCCGCCCAAAATAGATGCATCAACCGAGAAGGATGTACGAAGGAAGTACATCAATCTAGGCAAACTAAGGGCGTTGCGGACGATGGTCAGCGCGTCGTGGACCGGAAGATGAGACACTCGGTCGAGGGCGAATTTCAGCTCTGCGAGTTTTTTATTAAAAAAAGTGTTTTGAAACTCACCCTCCATCAATGGGGTGCCCAAGAAGCTCAATGATGCCTCAGACACTAAGGGCACTTCCGCCAGTGTCTGTGGCATTTCAAAAGAGTCGTTTGCGTACAATTCGCATTTTTTAATATTAAGCTCAAGCCCAATGATGGAGGCATTGTCTTTTAAAGACAGGAAATCAGTAGCTAAAATTGCACCCTCGGCGGCCAAACTGATATCGTCCAGGTAGCCGCAAACGAATTTTGAAAGAGATTTTTCCAACACCGGGTGTAGGGTCAGAGCAAACAACATCGGCCCCAAAGGGTCACCCTGTTGCACCCCCTCGGACGATTCCATCACCCAGGTGTTATAACCAAGAAAAGAGATTCGGCCATATGCGGAGTGGCAGTAATTGTAAATTTGGGGACAGAGCCGTTTGACTGCCTCCAGCATCGAATCTCTCCTCAGGGTATTAAAGGCATTCCTGAAGTCAATTTTTAAAAAACCCCATTTATCGGGTAAGTCCAGAACCAATTTACGGGCCGCATGTACGGCCGCCTCTGCTCCTCCTTTCACCCCAACGCCCAATTGAATTGGGTAAAGTTTCGCCTTGGTTTCTTCCAACACCAAGATCAGAGCACATTTGCTGGCCAACCTTCTCCAAAAGTTACCGACCACAATAGGTCTAACTCCCCCATCTTTTTTTGTCAACGCTATCAAACGACCCCCGAAAAAGAAACGGCTGGCGACGGATGGGCACGCGCCAGATAAAATTATATTTATAAACTGTGTTAGGGAGCTTACAAACTCGTCAATGGGCAGTGGGCCTGAAATTAAATCTTTAATGTGCTGGGGCCTTAGGCAGTCAAGGCCTCCAGACGAACCATTCCTAAATGACTTCAGGGCTGACAACACCTGGGTGGGTGAAACGCAACCATTTACGGTTTCCGGTGCAGGAAAGACTCTCCTGTCCGATGGTGACCTGGGGTGGATGGCGTTGAGTCTAACCAATGTCTCAGGCGAGTCCCCCGCCAGACCCTCGGGGGAGCAAACAAGCCTGACAGCCGCCGAAAGATTGCCCTGTTCTATGCGGGCGATTGCGGTTTGAATCCAACTGTTTGGATTGTTTTTTCGTGGCTTTATTGTATTGTCGATTTCAAAGCCAGCCGCAATAGACTCAACCTCCAATGTAGAGTAATCTGCCAATCGTTTGTTAACATGATTACCCTGGTTGAATCTTCGACCCCCTCTGGCAGGCTTTTTGAGGATATATGGGAAAAAACAATGGAGCCTGTACCAGTGAGTTGGGTCGCAAGGTTCATTACAAATTGCCGCCATGAGGGACATCAATTCTTTTATTACTTTTTCCCTACATGGTTTCGGCACATGATCAATAACCGGGGTTTTTCTCAAGGCGGCCGTCAGTCTGTCAAAAAAAGCGTTAAGGTCAGTTCCCATGGGAGCCTCCGTGACCGAAGCTGATGTACGTGCGGCTTCGCGACCCTCGTTGACAGGTGCAGCGCGGGGAAAAACTCTCCTGTCCGATGGTGACCTGGGGTGGATGGCGTTGAGTCTAACCAATGTCTCAGGCGAGTCCCCCGCCAGACCCTCGAGGGAGCAAACAAGCCTGACAGCCGCCGAAAGATTGCCCTGTTCTATGCGGGCGATTGCGGTTTGAATCCAACTGTTTGGATTGTTTTTTCGTGGCTTTATTGTATTGTCGATTTCAAAGCCAGCCACAATAGACTCAACCTCCAATGTAGAGTAATCTGCCAATCGTTTGTTAACATGATTACCCTGGTTGAATCTTCGACCCCCTCTGGCAGGCTTTTTGAGGATATATGGGAAGAAACAATGGAGCCTGTACCAGTGAGTTGGGTCGCAAGGTTCATTACAAATTGCCGCCATGAGGGACATCAATTCTTTTATTACTTTTTCCCTACATGGTTTCGGCACATGATCAATAACCGGGGTTTTTCTCAAGGCGGCCGTCAGTCTGTCAAAAAAAGCGTTAAGGTCAGTTCCCATGGGAGCCTCCGTGACCGAAGCTGATGTACGTGCGGCTTCGCGACCCTCGTTGACAGGTGCAGCGCGGGGAGCCAAACCCGAAGTTCCTGTAGACCCGGCCGATGGTTGGTCGACCGCTTTCATAGACCCAGGGCATTCTTGACCCTTCTCTTTCCGTCCGTGCCGGTGTAATTTCCCGTCCGGTCTTAATTTATAGTAGTTGAAACAAAAAGTGCATTTGTGTAAAACCGGAGCCATAAATAAATATAAAATTAAAATTATAGGTAAAATACTAATAAAACTGCAAACATTGTTAAAACTTTAAACCAAAAAATAAAAATTAAAACAAAAATATTGCAAGGATGGTGTACATAAATGAAAAACGGAAAGCTAGTATTGTATACTATTTAATATTCATGAGTTTAAAAAAAAAATTTTGGAAACGAAATAAAATTTGATAAAACCCACCAAACCACCATAAAATATCCAAAAAGCAAAAAGAAACAGTCCAAAACGTTAAAACCAATTTTAATAACCAAAAATTAGTCAAAACTGAAAACTAAAATCCCTAAAACCTTTAAAAACGCGAAATGTTACCAGCAAAATGTTTCAAGTCGGCCGGACCGTGTTGAGCTAACGAGATGTATGTATGTATGTGTATGTATGTATGTATGTATGTATGTATGTATGTATGTATGTATGTATGTATGTATGTATGTATGTATGTATGTATGTATGTATGCATGTATGTATGCATGTATGTATGCATGTATGTATGTATGTATGAACCCATAATTGATTAGAACTATAAGGAAGTAATAATCATATCCGGGTTCAGCTTTAATCTATAATATGTATGTATGTATCTGAAGTATCATGATATCAATTTATTTTCCACTTTTTTTGAATTTTGATGGTTTCCTATGGATACACGTACACATTCAAATACTATATATATAAACGTCAAAAAATAACACTCAATGAGAAAACAGCATGTTGAAGTATTTGCGTGAATCTGAAAAATGTCAAAAAAAACATTTATTGCTGTATTTTTGTTCATCTTCATTGGTGAGAAAAATAAATCTGTTCTTTGTGTTTTTGTTTCAATGAAATTGATTTATAACTCAACTTTTACAGTAAAAGTTCTTGCGTCGATTTCAAGTGTGATCTCTGAAAATTTGGCCTTAAAAAAATTAACAAAAAGCAGTTCTGTGTTTCATAATAACAACACATGGCACTCAAGTTTGATGGTGGATGGCGATGCAAATCCTTTCGCAGATTTGGGACACTGTTTTCATTCTGACGATTGGCCAGGTGGACCTAACTGGGTGGTTGTTGATCTGGCCGATGATTATTATGTGGATCGTGTTAATCTTTATTCAAGAGACCGTTGTCGTGAGTATTTATAATAAATTCTTCAATCGTTGAATGTTTGTTTGTTAGATAGCTAGTTTGTTAGTTAGTTTGTTTGATTGTTTGTTTTGTTTGTTAAAATTTGTTCTGTTTGTTTGTTCACTTTCAACAAATTAACCTTTGAATATAATTCAGCCGAAAGATTGGACTACTTTATAATCGGCCTCACCTCAGTGAATTATTCCGCAATACCGAGAGGAATCTACCCTCTCTGTGGTCAATACAAGTACAAGGCAGTCGTCAGGAGCAAGCTTAAACTGAAATGTAATGCCAATCTTCCTTCGTATCGTTACGTAATTTCTCAACAACCTGCTGACGGAGTGGGGTGGCTTACAATCTGCGAGCTGGAGGTATATGAAGCCAGAAATTTGAACTGTTAGTCGGATTGTTTGTTAAATAAATTTTCAATTTAAAGTTAAAATTTGTATTATACAGCAAAAGTATGGAGTCGTAAAATGAACCACAAATTAATCGGTTACACTTCTCATGAAATGGTGACCAACCGCTTGCTGAAATGTTTGTCCAGCTGCGTGCCGGGCCTCTGTCATTCCGTTAACTTCAAACATGAGGAATCCATCTGTCAGTTGAACCAACATTTGTTCGGGTATCCCCAAACTGCTCTGAACAACAACACTGGTGGCTGGAGTTTCTATGAAGTTTATTATGCTTAACAAACTATCAAGTTATGATCTCGTGCAGGACAAAACACAATGTCGTGAAAACAATTATGTGACATTTATTTATTAGTTTTTACAAAAAATTAATGGTACCTTGATATAATCTATCACTTATTCTGAAATTTTTGAACTAGACCGTTTGTACGAATAAATGCGTTTTCTCATTTCTGAAGATGTGAAATGGAAAAGCTGTAGATTGTATAAAGGTTATTGATTTTCAGAAACAAAATATTTTTTTTGTATCAGTTATCATAGAACATTGGATCATTATTGTTTGTGTCTAGTGCATTTTTTCCACTTTCTATTCAGTGAACAACCATAGCGCTATAATTTACTATTTTTCACATAATTAATGAATTTTGTTGCCAATTAATTTTAGTTTAGGATTTAAATAAATAGCTTGTTTGCAAATCAAAGTTGTTTATTTACAAAACTGTAATAACATTTAATCTTAAATAATATAAATAATGTAAATGGTGCAAATTTACAATGAAAAACTTGGCTATCACATGCACTCTTTTAATGTTTGTTTTAATTGAATATATGAGCCTGGTTTAGTGTTCTGGGCATGACATAAAACTGCATCCACGCTGCCTTGTGTGCTTCTGAGCAAAAAGGTTAGGCCCACCGCTTATAACTGGTGGTTCTTGTCAGAATGGGTGTCCGGATGTAAAAAATTTTCCCAAAACTATTTTATGCCATCACAAACAAAAACAACGGCCCGTAGTCCCCAGCAGGCCTTAAGTGGTCAAGGAGTGGTACATAGATTTGAAACGCTCAATGTTGGATCACTGACTGGCCGCAACATAGAAATCGCAGAAAAGCTTGAGCTCAGAAGGATTGACATCTGTGCCTTCAGAAGACCCGATGGAAACTGAATGGTGTCTGTCATATCAACTCGGACAAAGAAAAATATAAACTATTCTGAAATGGTCAAAAGACGGCCCAAAATGGTGTTGAAATGAAATTTTTGTCAAAGAACCGCTAGCCCAAGAAGTACTAGATATTAAAAGAATTAACTCATGTCTTATATGGATCAAGCATTGCCTAGAAAAGCAAACAAGGAATATTTTTTCTGCATACGCACAACAGACAAGCAAATCAGAAGAAATGAAAAATGACTTTTGGGCTGCGTTTCTGACACCATCTCAACAGCACCGAAATCTGAAACAATCCTGATTGGAGGCGATCTCAGTGGCTACGTTGGAGAGGAAACAGATGGTTTTGACAACTTGCATGGCGATTTTGGGTATGGAGAACGGAATGAAGATGGCAACCGCGTCTTGAGTTTGCTGAAAGTCACGGGTTTTGTTTATTAAACACATATTTTAGAAAGAGGTTGGAACATCTCATAACATACAAAAGTGGACCATCAGCCACGCAAATTGATTTCAAGCAACAACACCGATAGCTATTCAAAAATGTCAAAGTTATACCTGTCTGTTAAATAAAACAAATCCCACCAATGTCAACTTTGACGCTCCAGACATCACTGTAGAGAAGCTTACAGAGGCTTTGAAAGCTATGAAGGATGGAAAAGCAGCAGGGCCCGCTGGACTCACAAATGACGTTATCAAAGCATCTGGTACTGCAGGTATCCAAACGTTACTACAACTTTGCCGTGAATAGGGCTCCCATATGTCCTTTTTTTAAGAGGACAGTCCTTTTTTTTGCATTGGTGTCCTTTTTAAAATCTGTTCTTCTATTTCTTTAATTTTGTCCTTTTTTTTAAAATGTGTCCTTTTTTTGTCCTTTTTTTTCATTATTAAGTCTGAAAATATCAATACAACTTCACATCATAAATATAAATCAATAATCATAATGCTTAAAATAATTAAAAAAATAAAATAATTATTTATACATCATAAATCATAATGCTGCTCTTAATAATTGTTTCCAGGTATATAATGCTTATATTCTGTCCAATCTATAGATTAAAATTTTATGGTTCGAAATAACTTCTATAACAATACTATTTATGATTTCATGTCCATCTAACTTCACTGTGCGTGGAGCGCGTTCTCTTCTTCGCGTGACGTTTATATTATACAGCCACTTTTTTTAATCTAAATTTTTTTAATTTTATCAAATAAATTAATAAATAAAACTAATTTAAATTATAAAATTAACGATGTCAAAAAGAAAAAGTGTTTATCGTGAACAGTTTTCAACTTACTTTCCAGGGATTAAAAAAAGTAAAAAAGGTGAAAATTATGCCTTTTGCGAATATTGTTTAACTGATGTTAGTATTGCGAACGCAGGCGTTTCATCTATTAAACAACATTTTGAAAAAGAAGTTCACAAAAACAACGTGAAAATTAAAAAGTCTACTGTCGGAATATCAACATTTTTTCATAGTGATAATTTGCCCACATCTAGAAAAACTGCTGCAGCAGAAGGAGCATTTGCATATCATGTCGCTTTTCACTCGTTATCGTTTAAAGCTGCAGATTGTACAAATCGTTTAATTTCAACTGTTTTCGCTGAATCGGAAACTGGTCGGAAATTTTCATCTGCTCAAACAAAAACGCAGGCAATCATTTCAAGAATATTGGCTCCGAAATCAATTGAGAATCTTTTGTCTGAATTGGGCAGCGAGCCGTTTTCTATTGCAACCAACTCGTCAAATTTTAAAGAAATCAAAACATTCCCTATCATTATTCGGTATTTTTCGCATGAAGGATTGAAAGTTAAATTGTTAGAGTTTTCAAATTTGCCAGGAGAAACGTCAGAATTGATTTTCAAATATGTAATGACTGTGCTTGACAGATTCAAATTGAGTCCTAATAATTTGGTAGCGTTCAGTGCTGACAACGCTAATGTAAACTTTGGTGGAGCAAAACAGAATGGTCAAAATAACGTTTTTGCCAAATTGAAAAACATTCAATCAAAACTGATTGCTGTAGCCTGTCCAGCTCACATTCTCCATAATGCAGCTAAAAAATCCTGTGAAAGGTTTTCACTTGACATTGAATCGTTGCTGTTCAAAATCTTAAACTATTTTAATGGATCCACGCTGCGACATGAAAAATTTAAAGAATTTTGTGAATTTATGGAAATTCAATATGCTAAATTTCCAACTCATACTCGCACACGATGGTTAAGCTTTCTTCCATTGATTGAACGAATTTTACAGTTATGGGGTGGCTTAAAATTTTACAGAATTTTACAGTTATGGGGTGGGTCTATCAACGGATGACATTCCAAAGGTTCTGGAAAATTTATTCTCTGATGATTCAAATGAAATCTACTTCTGGTTTCTACAGAGCTCATTGCAGCTGTTTCAGCAAATTTTGCTGATACTTGAAAAAAAAGACCTTGTGCTTCCTGAAATGATAGAATCTGTTGAAAATCTGTCACAAAAACTCACTGACAGGATGCAGAAAAATTTTTTTGGTGCCATGACTCAATCAAAGTTGCAATCATTAGAGGATTTTAATTTGGCTAATCGCATAGAAAAGGAGTTTTCAACATTTTATTCGACATCTGTTGATTACATTCAGAAGTGGTTCAGAATTACTGATTATCCGTCTTCTTCTAAGTGGTTAATGGTGAAATCTGTCGATACAATTTCGTATGAGGATATTCGAAAATCTGCAGAGTTTCTAATGCCAGAAATTTCTGTGAAAGATTCTCTGTTTGATGAAACGAGTCTTCTAATTTCACTGTTGAAAGATTCAAAAAAAGTTTCCACGAATTGCCCATTGATAAAAAATGGGCTGTTCTGTTTCAAAATGAACTGTTTTCAGATTTGAAGAAATTGGTATACACAATTTTTGCCATTCCTACCTCGAATGCTGCTGTTGAGCGAATTTTTTCATTATGTAAAAAACAATGGACTGATGATAGAAACTGCCTAAAAATTGATACTGTTAAAGGTTTACTACAGGTAAAGTTTAATTATTCTTTAACATGCTCTGAAATGTACACTTACTTGTTAAAAAACGATGACTTAATTAAGCAAATACAATCAAAGGATAAGTATGTTGGTTGATTTCAGTAGTATTTTCAAGGTTAATTTTATAACTAATTTTTCCGTAGTTATATAGATATCTAAACAAAGTAAGTTTGAAATTTCAAACCTAGATTACGAATACGAACATAAAAAACTAATTCGAAAGTTGGAAAATCTAAAAAAGAAAAGAAATAATTTAATAACAGCGATCGATTTCAACAAAATATGTATAAAAGAGAACCTACTGACGAATTACACAGACATATATATATATACACACACACATATACATATATCTGAATCTGGTTTTATATTTTGAAGTTCAATAAAAGAAGTTTCCATTGTTATTAGTATTTACTGAATTTAGATTTTTTGTAAAAATTGTCCTTTTTTTTGCAAAAAGTAAATGGGAGCCCTAGCCGTGAAGTGTGGAGAAATTGCTCAATGCCGACTGAATGGAACGAAAGCATGACAGTTCCGCTATACAAAAGCAAAGGTGATTCATTGAACTGTTCATCATATCAGGGTATACGTCTGTTAGAACATTCTTTTAAAATTGTCGAAAAAATCATTGAGAGAAGATTAACGTCGTGCATCACAATTGGAAATTATCAATTTGGTTTTCTAGCGGGGAAATCAACGATTGATGCAATTCACATCCTTCGGCAACTGCAAGAGAAATACCTCGAAAAGCATCAACAACTATCACACATTTTTGTAGACCTTGAAAAACCTTGATTGACTTCCCGTGAAACAATCAGGGGGAGTTAACGTCGACAACTCATTCCAGAATATCTTGTTCGACTTGTGATGGAAATGTATAAGAACATTAAGAAATCACAAAACCGATACGCACTGGTAACATTTGGAATCTAATATATGCTGATGATATCGTTTTAACAGCCACGTCTGAGCAGAATGCAGCGCAGATGTTTGAAGATTGGAACACCAGACTCGCCGATCATGGATTCAAAGTCAACATCAGCAAAACCAAAACAATGAACACTGGTGAACCCATCCAATCCACAGCTACTGGACGATGGCCCTGTTCAGTTTGTAAAGCTGGTGTAGGTAACAATTCAATCAGGTGTCAGCAGTGTAACCAGTGGTGTCAAAAACGTTGTTCAAAAATAATTGGTACTTTATCTAAAGTGTCCAATTTTGTTGGTCCTGCTTGCATCAATCCACAACAACAAATTCGAAATAGCACTGTTTTTGAAGCCATTAAGGTAGAGAAAGTCACATCGGATGTTCTGGATTGTACTGGAACAGCTGAAGCTGCCGTTTGAGCACGCATACGTGCAGCCTGGAATAAATGGCATCTCCTTGCCTCTATATTGATGCGACGTGACATCCCACTACCACTTCGATCAAGACTTTATAAATCTGTGATACGTCTGGTGTTGTTATATGGTGCAGAAACATGGCCAATGACAACCAAACTGGAACAAAAACTTTAACGAACCGACATGAAAATGCTCCGATGGATGCAACAAATTAGTCTGAAGGACCACATCAAATCTACCAAAATCCTGCGTCGTGCTGGTTTATATGATATAAAGGGCGAATGCCGGCAACACCGTCTGCGGTGGTTTGGTCATGTCAAACGAAGTGGAAACAGTGCCATAACTTCTCTTGCAAATGTTGAAGTATCTGGCACACGTCCCAAAGGCCGTCCAAAAAAGTCCTAGTCACAAACAATCGAGCAAGACATGAAAGCTCTAAATTTAAATGAAATGAATACAACTGATCGCCTAATTTGGCGCAAAATTCGATGGCAAAGAAAACAACGTCCTACCTAGAGGAACTGGGTCTCTGGACACTCAACGAAGATTGATTGATTGATAGCCTGGTTTAAAAAAGTTTCGATTTTTTCTTTCAACCTGTCTGTATAACGAAATTATCGCATTCAGGCGGTATAGAAATGTGAACACTTGAACGGTACTCTAGAACGTGGCTAATAAACTTAACTACGGTGCATTGCATTCGCACAAAATGATGTCTACCTTCATCAAATAAAATATTGAGTCCATTTTTTAAAATGAGGAATTAAAAAAATTAATAAATATTAATAACATTTGTAAAATATAAAAAAATTAAATAAATAACACACATTAAGATATTTTAAATGTCTTGCTGTTAACGTTATCTTTCTAGGTTGATTGAGCGGTGGTTTGACGCTTATGTTCAAGTTGACGAAGGTTGTGGGTTGTACTTTTAATTCGAGGTAGTATTACGTGATAGGTATTTGTTACTATTTTTTTAAATAATCTGAAACTGAGTGTGACCGAATCATTGAAGGTAGTTAGTTGATTTACTTTTTGATGGTAGTTGTTGAAGCTGTTGAGTGGCGAAGTCGAACCAGGAAGGAGCTGTATACTTGATGTGTGAGATGACGAGTGATTCTATGATCCCGAATATTTCATATCTACAAGACCATATAAACGAGTCCCGGGCAAGGTAGCGATCACCCAGACAAAGAAGGTGGACGTGTTGAGCCGTCGATGGTGGGTACGATCGCCAATCTGACTGCGGCGAAGGCAATGACAACATGGAGATGACATCTCCATGTTGTCATTGGTAACGGAGAAAAAAAATGACCACATATGTGTATGTTTGTATTCGTGTGTAATATTAATAAATCGGAAACCAAGAGTTAATTAAGTTTGCTAGTTGATCATGGTCCGTGATGGTTGGCGCTATATTTTGGATATATTTAAATAGTTCTATAAATTTTTTACTAATCAGTGAATTAAAGTTAATGATTGGCTAAACAACTGATTGAAAGCCCAGATATTGTGTTTCTCATTAATAAAATTCATTTAAGAAAAAACATTTTAATTTAGTTTACATAATTTATTTTATTTAATTTGGACAAAACAAACCTTAAACGAGAGGATGTTTATAATTTTTTGTCATTTAAAAACAAAACCGTCAAAAATACAAAAAGAGAAAATACAAACTACAAAATGACCACAAATGCAAACAACACAAAATGCTGATGGATTTCTAAGCTCGTTAATTAATTTCAATATGCTAAAAGAGGTCTACAAAATATTTTTACACAAATTCGTTTATCACTCATAAAATACAAACTATAAAGAATGCATTGAACAAATCGTTATTCATTCAGTAAAACATCCATCCATCTATCCATTCATCCAACCACCCATACACCTATCCACCCACTCAAACATCTACCCATTCATCCATCCATCCATCCATCTAACCACCCATACACCCACTCAAACATCCACCAATTCATCCAACCATCCATTCAAACATCCACCCATCTATCCGCGAACCCATGCAGTACAGCAAACAATCAATGAAACAGTCATGTAGATTGAACTCAGCATCAATCAAATGACTCGACTCTTGAAGTAGAGGGTGAAGGCGAGGGCGAGGAGGATGATGAGGGTGATGAGGCAGGCGGCCACCAGGGTCCACGTGGCTATCTGGTACTCGATGCGCGGCCGAGGTGTGGGGATGGGAGTGCTGGTGACTGCAGGGTGGAATGAAACCTTTTTTTATCCATCCATTCCATTAATATTTAATTATATTTAAATATTAAATGGAAAACATGTTACAACTCGAATTATTTTTTACTTTTGTAAGTAACGAAATTTATGATGAAATTTTAAATGTGATTGAGGTTATGGAGCAAAGTGACTAAAACTAACTACAGAAACTAAAACATCGACAAACAACCGTTAAACTCCAGCGCACAATTGAAGAGTGGATGTTCGTAATAAAGTACAACCAAACCAAACCGTCGAATAAATTTTTATACATGGAACTAACTAAATTAAACATTCAACGTATTTTGCAAATCCTACTATCGCGTTGCCACCCCACAATGCAGGGACGCAGGGATATATACAATGCAATGCAGAACAGGTGCGACGAACTTGGTCTCCTAACTGAAACAGTTGGGTAATAATCCCTCCAGAAGGCGTAGTGGTTCTGCCTATAAGAAGAAGTATCAATTCATCAAGTTTTTATCTGCATTCGTAATTATAAAAAAAATAGCAACTGGAAAATCCTGCGATGAAATAATTTTTGAAGATAACTTAGTTTAATACAAAATTTATTTCGAGAAGTTGATGTTAAAAACAACGATGAATGATAACAACAAATAAATACTTGAATAAATAAAAAATAATTAAATTGATGAATAGCAAAATGAAGTAGGATAAAAATAATTTGCTCCACCTGTAATTGAGATCCATGTAGCTGAATTCCGATATGTACAAATAACTCAAATTGTAGCGCCAAAACTGGAACCAAGATATATTCCTCGTCCAATCGGGTGTCGGGTTGCTGAAAAGTGCGGGTGATGATTGACGCTTCAAGTCAAAGTTAATGTTTTCTCCAAAAAAATTAACTTTAATAAAGCAGGATATTTCAAATTTTATTTAATTAAATAAGCCAAAAAGAGAAGCAGTCATCATTTGAATTCTGAATATATTTAATTTTTAAAATTTTCTCTTTTGCAAAATACGAACCCGTATCTGGTGAAATTGATGATCATCATTTGGAAGAAATCGCTGATGTTCCTGTCAACAAGAGTCCAAGAGGTTTGTTCGGGTACGATGCCAGTCAGGTTGCCCATGGTCTCGTTGAAGAATGGGTACCCGATGAAGTAGTCCAGATCCCTGCCGTAAGGGACTCCTGAACAAAATATCACGATCAAAATCGAGAAAAAGATTTTCTTTACTAAGTCAACCTTCAACTAAAATTTAACAAATTTTCATGTAAAACACAAACAAATTTATGACAACAAGCATTTTCATTCAACTTGTATTTTTAAAATTATTAGAAATGCAATAAAAATGAAGTTTTTGAAAAACAGTTTTTCACCCATCCATGTTGGCAAAACTTCGTAATCTGATCTGTTTAAAAATAAATATTCAAGAAATTTACTCTCTTGCGTTGTGGCCATATGACTATTTTTATATGTCTATGATTATATTTACATATATACATATATATGCGTGTGTGTGTGTTACTTATTTACATAAATTTAAAATATTCATACAAAGTAAGTCATAATAAGCAGACAGACAGACGGAGCAAGCCACCTGTGCGTGAAGAGGTACATGTAGACGGGAGGACAGGTGAGGTCCCAATGGTCCGTGTCGCTGCAGAATGCCTGGTACTTCAGAAAGTTATCCACACACGATCCGTACATTTGATCAGTCCACAGCTGTGTGCGTGTGTGTGTACGCGCGTGCGTGTGTGTGAGCGATGTAGTTGATAAGATGGAAATGGAAATTTTTTAGGCTATGAGTCTGAGATGGATGGAGGACTAACGTCAATGAAGTTCTGCCGCACGGCTGACTTGTTGTTTGGCTTGGCCCAGTAAGTGTACTCGAACTCGATGGCTCCTACGACCTCGTACACATTCTGCACGTTGGCTCTCTGACGGACCATGCTGTTTATCATGTCCCGGAAGTCTGCCGGCTCTATTCCCTTCTCTATTTCTATGGTCGGAATGTTTTTTACCAGATTCTCTGAAATTAATCATAAATTCAATTTATAAAAAATTAACAACAATTAAGTATTTTTTATGTTTTAATGATTTTGCTTAATCAAATTTTCAAATAATTACAAGCGTTTACATGGCATCTAATAAAAATACATTTAACAAAAAAATACGTTAAGCTAAGAAAATATTCAAAGCTAAGAAAGTATTCAATGCAAGTTGTGATGAAATAAATGTCCATGATGAACCCAGATTAAAAGTATAAAACTGACCGACAATATAAGAACCAGCATCCAACGTTATTCCGGCAATAACTTTGATCTTCATGTACTTACCACTTGCTCTCAAGTTGGCAGGGGTGTCCGTCAATATGAATCCATCTACCACGGGACCGAAGGGGCCAGCCAACGAGCCGTACTTTACATTCGAATGTTATGGCAACATTCATTATTTATTAATGTATCATATAAACGTTGACAAAAAATGAAATTTTTGAAAAAATATTTCAGACCCTTTTTTGTACAGAAGCAGTGGCGTTTACAACCTCCTCGTAATGTTTCCCCCTCAAACATCGAACGAGAAAAGCCAAATCTTGATCGTAATCGAACCCGCAACCAACCAACCTCCCGAAGTCTCTGGTGTACGTTACTGCGTTGGCGTTCCATATAGTTCCAATGGTGGCCCAATCACACAGATCAGAACCACTCATCAACACAGCCTGATGAAAAAGCGGCTTGCCTGTTAATTAGTTGAACAACTTTTGCTATTGAATAAATTTGATGCCATTGTGATACTGACATTAAACTTTAATATGGGGTACGGGGAAGTATTACTAATTTTGTGTGGTCTGTCGGTAGAAAAAGAAATTTTAAAAGAACCTTTGTAGTAAGATTGAGGAGAGAGCATGAGAATGCCGACCATTGCCGCCCCTGAACCATGTCCAACTAATGTGACCTGACGATCAAATATAGCGCTATACAAGGAGTCATCCAACAGTCATGACCGACATGAGTACATAAGCATATTACAAGTTCGATGCCACAAATTCACATGTGTTCAGCTCATATATGCTCAAGTATACTGTTGATACTACTGGGCAATAATTACAATCGAATTTTTTATCATTACCAATAATGTTGATAAAGTTTTATATTCTTTTCAGTTTGTATTTAGTTTTGCAATTTAAGTTTCAGTTTTATTTTAAGTTTCAATTTTGAAGAACATTCGATTTTTCAAATAAATTAAAACAAACAATTGTTGTTCATAGTATACTGCAATTTAGCATAAATTCACTTTAATTAACAAATAATATATATAATAAATGAAAAGGAAAATTTTAACAAACAATTAATTGGTCAATTAGTCAAAAACTTGCTGAATAATAACAGCAATTTTAAACATGAAATTAGCTTTATTTTACCAAAGATGATAAATGATTTAAGTTTTGACATAATTTAAGTTTGTATTTCAGTTTTACAATCTTTTCTATTTCGTTTTTTAAATCAGTTACAGTTTTTTAATTCTTTTAAGTTTAAGTTTTAGTTTCAATCAACTGAAATGATATTTTTCCATTAACTGATATTTCAGTTACAGTCATCTCCAACAACGCTAATTACCAAGATATCCTCATCGTTAAAAACTATTAGTTCGTATAATCATCGTAGGCAGCTTTTAAATCTGGCGTTGCTACTGTATCGCTGGTTGTCTGCGTTTTGATGGTGATGATGATGACTAATGTTTTTATGATGATGACGACCTGATAATAACGATTACATTACAAATATTCCAAAACAGAAGCATCAACCTTATTGGGATCACCTCCGAACTCAGTGATGTACATTTGAATCCACTTCAAGACCTTCAACGTGTCCATCAGCCCATAATTTCCTGGCGAGTTGCTGTCCAGGGTCGTCATGAAACCTGCCAGCAGCATCAGCACAAATGAACAACAACAGTCTTATTAGATTTACTGATTCGTGCCCAATATTGTTTTTTTAATAAAATAATCAAATTGTATTCCATCCCCTGAAGTATCCATAGATTGAAAATTCGCATCGCTCGGGAACTCATTAAAATTTTATTAATCAAAGATATCAGGTGCAGTTTTAATGTTCACTCCACTGCAGCTTGCGTGCGTTGTGTGTGCAGCCGAGTCGTGAACATCGCATTTCAAAGCTTTTTGTTTCATGGTAAAGTGCAAATAGCGGTTAAACTACCGCAACAAAACCTCATTCATTTTAAAGTGTACCTAGAGCTCCGAGTCTGTAGTTGAATGTTATGACTAAAATCTCCTTCCTGGCAATGAGGTGCGCCGGATAGAGCATGGAATCGCCATCTTTGTAGTCATCACCCACCACCAACACCATAATGGGATAATTCTGGTTTTTGTTTCTCGGTCTGTCTGTCAGCTGCACAAGATGTAAGTGTGCATACAATATGAAAACCATTGGTGCAATCAAACCCATAACAATTTTTGCTGGCAATAACGTTTGTTAAATATAAATTTGTTTACACAACTGATAAATAATTTGTTTAACTAATAATTTTACACGTTGCTATTTAAAAATTATTTTTTATTGAAAATTCTACGTTAATGTTGAATTGATGCGCCATACATCAAGCCGCCCATAGTTTTTGGGCAACGTGATGGCCTAGTGGTTGAAAGCGCCTGGTGCTGTTTTGCAGTAACCTGGTTTGAATATGACAATAACATGCTCTTTGTGATGCGTCGTTTAGCACGTTATTCATATATTATGTTTGTGCGTGTTGTTGATTCCTCTGAGCCTAAGAAGAGTGTAATTAACCTTTAACCTGTTTTTGAACAAGAAACAACTTGGGATTAAGCTAAAATTAAATAAAAATTAAGCTAAAACAACTTTGAAGAGCTTACATTCGGAGCAAAAATGTTCAAATGAAGGCAGTCTTCACTCATGTTTCGCTTGGTGTAGTAACGTTCCTGATATCTGAAAAGTTCCTGGGGGCAGGCATCCCTGTAATAAGATGCATCCCAATCCGGATCACCGTAATCCCAATTCGGTCCTACATCTTGAGGCGGCTGGTGGTTGAACGTTAACATTAAAAATTGTAATAAAACAAACTCATAGGTGACAATAAAAAGATTTATTTAAACCTTCTTAAAATTTAAAATATTATATTATATAATAAACAAAACTCTATCAATTAACAAAAAAATTATAATTCCATAAAATAATGTAGTTGGTATAAAGCACTTAAGTAAAATTATGTAAGAAAATCTAAATAACCATGAACCGTCGTTCATAGACAGGAGGCTTGGCATAAGGCACCCCCAAGAACAAATTGATGTATCGATACGGCATGTAAGCGAGACTCCTCCCCAAGACCATCCCAATGTTTTTTACCGATCTCTTGATAACATCGTACGGATAGTAGGGAGGTAACAGGCAGTACCCAGCAGTGTGAGGGGGACATAAAGGTGCGTCCCAAGGGGGAAATTTTTGATCAGCTCCAACTGTTCGTTTGATGCGAGGTTTGTCCCATTGTGGGTCGTCTTTTTTTGGGTCCCACTGACCGTATACCGGCAAAATAGAAAAGAATAAAATCGCGGTTGCTGTTAAAATTGCTTCTTGAATCAGATTGTTAGCGTGCATTGTTTAATGTTTAAAAAATAAAATGATGCTCTAAAAACGAGCCCCTAATTAGCATCGTCCCACAACAGGTTCATGTCGTCCCTACCCATCCAGGTTTCGTTCAACAATGAACATTCATTAAATTAACTTTTAAAAGATGTAAGTAAGGTAAACAATGTGCAGGTAAAAAAGAAATGGGTGCAAAAAATTAATTAAAATGTTTTTATTCATATATTCAGAATACTTCTAGTGGTTTTTAAAAAAATAATACAAAATTATGTATGTATTAAAACAAATTTAATGCTAATTTTTAAAATTTAAAAAACCAGTTATAAATTAAATTAACATAAATTATAAATAAATTAAAAAATTTAGAGTTAATTTGATTTAAACTCTATTTACTTTTACTCATTGTTTATACAAAAGTGCCTCATCTTGCTTATAAATTGCGGCTTCAGTTCAGTTCAGTTTTATTTTTTGTTAGTTGAACTTTCATTTGATCGAACTTATTTTTTTCTCCGGCGTAATGTCTCTGAGGAAGAAATAGGAAGATGAACGTCGACAAGTGGAACTATCGGTGCGAGGGCAACGCTGGCATCGCAATATCCAACAAGAAGGTTGGATCAAACATTTAATTTTAAAATTTTAATTTATTAAATCATTCTTTTGATCATTGATGGCTGTAATTAATTTAATTATAAAATAAATAAATAATTTTAAATTCCATCTATTTATTTTTGTATTATCTTTCAACTTTTTGTTCTTAATTTTTTGCATTCATTTTTGGTCCTAATTTTTATAATTTATAATAAAATAAAGTCAAAATAAAAATAAATATAAACTAAAAAATAAAAAATAAAAATAAACTTGGATGTTATGTGTTGTTTACCTGTCTTATGAAGTTTAAAGGAACATGAATTATATTGGTTCACTGTTATTTATTATTTACAAATTACAAAATATAAGCTGCTCTAGTTTCAAATTTTTTAAACTTTAAATAATCATTAAAAAGCAATTGTTTTTTTTTTTTATTTTTATAGCAGTATCTATTTTTTTTATCTATGGATGTGATGCGAATGGACACCATGATGCCCATTAGATTTAGTTAGAGAGTCTTATCTTATATTAATCACTTCTAATGAAGTCTTTGATTAAATTCTAATGAAAAATAAAATGTCTAAAATTACCAATAATTTAATTATCATTAATTAGTTTTAATTTAGCCAACTTCAGGGTCTTTGGTCCAAGTTTTTGGAACTGCATATAATATTAAGTAAAAATATTAATTAATTAATGGGTTAAAATGCACCATTGTTACTTGTTTTTCCTTTAATAATCTGTAAGTTTTTATAATATCAATCAATCAATCCTCGTTTATAGTCTCCATCTGTTATGGATAGGACTTATGTTTTTATAATAATCTAGCATAAATAACTGATAAATGTCTAGTAGTTACTTTGGTTAGTAAAACAGTTAAAAAAATTTACAGAAGATTTTTTCTAGCTAAATAAAGCTCAAAATATTTTTTAAACTCATTTATCCATTTTCATTTTTTATTTCTTTACATTTTAAAAGTTTAACATTTCAAAGATGTTTGTATGTTTGATCACCAGGTTGATCGTTTTGTTGTTCATGTAGTTCTAACAAAATTTATTAAATGCTTTTTATCTGAATATTATAGCCATTGCATTTTTATTACCAAATGTTCAGAACTGTTTAATCAAGAAATGTTTAGAAATGTTTATCCAGAAGTGTTTAGTTTGATTCCAACTTAACTTTTTTAATAACACTGAGGCTCCTAGACTTCCCCACATAATATTAAAATTGATTTTTGTAATTTTGAATTGATTTATTGCTCTATAAAATTTCTCTAGTGAAAGTTATAACCATTAAAGCTTTCAAATTTGGTTTATTTAATATGAATATGTTAATTAAAACAAAATTGAACAGAATTGGCATTGATGCGCTTAATGAATTCTTTTTTAATTATGTTGTTGGAGACAAAAATTTGTGTTAGGCTTGTTCACTGTTATTGGGCAATAGAGTGTTTTTCTAATGTTTAAGTTTATAAACTGATCATCCAATTGAAATTGGTTGGATGCATTGGATGGTGTTACTTTTTCATTGATATCATTAAAAAGCAGTGTAATTGAATTAACTCTGATTGACAATGGAATTTTCAAATTCATTCAACACGAGATTTGTGTATTTATGTTTACAAATTATATACATACACAGGCTTATGCCAAATACCATTTAATGACACTGACATGAAAATATGTTGATCAGGAGTGTTTTCAAACAAAAAAATAAATGAAGAAGACTAATAATAACCCTTGTAACTGCTATTAGCAACGATGTCACTAATTATAATTTATTATTCTCGTTATCATTTTGAAGCATGCTCACTGATGTTTTTGTATTTGATGATTTGTACAGCGACTCTCGTTGGTGGTATAGGAAGAACCTCAGAGGCGCTATACAAATGTGTCAATCAAGCCATCAACCACTTCAAATGGAGGGGTGGTATGGCAGAATGTGTACGATTATTGTATTCTTTAAATAAGGCTTTTGACAGACATTTATTGTTAAATTTTATTTTAATAATAAGGGTTTTTCTTTAAATTTAAATTCAGTTTATTTTAATTTCGTGGTGATTAACAACATTTCAACAGTGTCAACAACATGATGGTGCATGACATTCATCTCAACGTAATTTGATCACCATTGTCTATGTACTCAGCTCATTTATTCTTATCATAATTTTTTATAATTAGTATTTTAAGCTATTTTTATTCATAATATAATGAATGAAATATATTTTTGTGTGTTATGTATGGTGTATAATTGTAATTATTTTTGTGTGTTCATGTGTGGGTGTATGTTCACTGTGTGTATGTGTGCGTGAGTGTGAGCGTGCAGAGGTGAATCATAATAAAAATTTTGCCTAATCTAATTAAGAGTCATCTGGTTCTTTTTTTCAATTTCAATTCAAACAACCACGCCATCAATTATCACTGACTGCTGATATAAGTGCAGTCAACAATGGTGATATTGGCTGTAAGTTGACTGCTATGTGGGTATTATGATGCAAAGGGTGTATGAATGATGATATTGTAATGATGATGGTGATTATGACGACTGATGATGGTGTTGGTTTCATGGTGATGATAACGTTCAGGGCACTGATATTGATCTGAAGATTTCATGATAATGATGACGATGAAAATAAAAATAAAAAATAAACTAATACTAAAGATGTTTAAAATTTGAAATGACACAACAACCATCATTATATTAATGTTATTTATTGCTACGCATTGTGCCAATGTAGATTTGCTGTGGGTAGTTGCTGCAGATAAGTTACAATGAAACTGGTTGTGACCTGTTCATAAATTATAATAGATTATATTAGATCTTACGTAAAGACATCCGCGAGTTAAATCATGTATGTGTGGACAGTCAGGCAAACTGTATTTTATAATTATATATAATTCATGTGCTGGAGCAGTTGTTAATGTGAATGTAGAATGATGACAAATTTCACTGAGTTCCCTGTCTAATTATATCAGGCACAGGCATGCATCTTTCTTTCAGAGGTTGTTGTTCTGCTGGCTTCTAAGTGTTCAGATTGTTGAACTTGCACATGATTGTGTGATTTATTCAACTGCTATGTTCTTATTAAGTATGGGTATGCATCATGTTTGCCTTTAAGGTTGCCAACGCACGGTTTTCATCACCTCATCATTGTATGATCATCATCATCATCATCATCTTAGAAAAATGTATATAATAATAATTGTAACAATAATAATATTTATTATTATTAATGGTGCATTTATATATGGGTAATTATACAAATTAAATTTTTCTCGGAAGCGTTATGCTAAAAAATTCAAAATTTAGAAATAGTACAAATAATAAGATTATATGCAAGAAAATAAAATTACATTTAATACATAAAATTACATTAAACAAAATATTAATAAGACATCTAATCTCGATCTCTGACGTTTTCAGGCCACGTGTTTTTCTCTGGTAGCCACATGGTCAAATTTAGCATCAGTATGCAGTCAAAACGAGGTACAGGGTTGAATTTCATCTGGTCTGGCAGCATTCTCTCTCTTTTTGAACGTTGGATAACACAATATGACCTCGACATTGTCCAACATGAGTTGTTGAATTATATCAGTAGCAATGCATTTTGCAACATTTTGCAACACAGGCCTAGCCTTTATTTTTATCGATCACCTCACTAAGTCATCATCTAGTCTATCAATTTGCCGTTACTTCATTGCATGTTGTTACAGTTTCTGCGTCTGTCAGATCTTGATTTTAAAGAATAATAAAAAAAAAAATATTACTCGTGTGAAATGTTTTTTTGGCGAATGAATGTTTCACTTGCTAATATATTTGAGTCGATGGAGGGACGTGTGCCGACAATTAATTTCGAAGACGTTAGGTGAAATACGTTTTGAATGTTTTTTTTTGTGGGTAAAAGTTTTAAAATCTTTTTCAACAAGGAATTACATGACTTCATCTTTATGTATTATGATACGTCTGAATTGCTTGCCGCCAATGTGTTGTTTCGATATAAATAACTCGTCCATATCAAATATTTTAGGTTTTCTATCAATAATGTCAATTATCCCCCTCATACCGGAAATTTCTAGATCGCCCACGGGTTCTTTTATTTGCAATCATGTTCACTATCTTTTATTGCCACTATCATAACCACCATTTAAATTTTCTCAAGTTTTTTAAATTCATTTATTTTTCAATTTCAGTTTTTTCTCATAATCTCAAATACTGAATACTTCACTTTTGTACCTCTTTAGATTTTATTATTATTTCTTTTATTTATTTATTATTATTATTATTTGTTTTATGTTTCGCTAACTTGGCTTATACTGTCATTTAACCATCGTCACACAGCTAACTGTTTTACTGTAGTATTACCATTTTTATCATCATCATTATTGTTGTTATTATTATTATTATTATTATTATTATTATTATTATTATTAATGAATCAATTTTAAAACTAATTAACTCTGGTCGCTCTCTCTCTCTCTCTCTCTCTCTCTCTCTCTCTCTCTCTCGATTCGGATGAGCTTCTCAGATTAATACTTTATTTATTGCATTTGACACTTTATTTTATTTCATTATTCTATTTTACTTGTACTGTAATTTTCATTTTTTTTACTGCTGAATAAAAGATCGTTTTCATTATTATTATTATTATACTATTACTGTTACATGTAAGATGAAACGACAGTGCTAAACATGTATTCTGTAAAGGCACCTCATCAACTCACCTTACATATACCTCAGCCGCGTTAATACAGCATACCTCATATACACCACGCGTATATTTCATTTCCACACTTTTATCCTTACACACACACACACACACACACACACACACACACACACACACACACACACACACACACAGACAAACACACACACATACATGCCATCAAATCATCATTTGTTGAGTTAAATTTTTATATAAGCTCTTATGCAAAGACAGACGAGCATGAATCTAATCATGTGCAGGTGAACTATCATAGACACACACATGTAGGACCGTTACACTTTTCAATTCATTTTCTGATTTATGATTCATATATTTGATTTGATTTGAACACTTGTAAAATGTGAATGTAGGATGATGACAAAGCTTAGCAAGTGCCTTGTTGAACTATAAGTATACATCAGTCTCTCAAACGCACATAAATTCTTAAGTACATATATACATACATAGATGCATGCATACATGCATGCATACAGATACATACATACATACATAAATACATATGTACGTACGTACACACATACATACTTACACACTCTCTCATGGCCAAAAGCGAGGTTATACGTACATACACACACACACAAATATATACATATTCATATACGCATGCATACATTATGGGATTAGAGGATGGAGATGCCTTGAATTGATGGCATCCTCTACGTTTAAAATCAATGTTAATTTTTGTGTTCGTTAATATGTAAATTAGTATATATGTGTTTCTAAGTTCATTAGCATACTTTTTAATGGGTTTGTGCGTGTGCTTAGTGTGTGTGTGTGTGTGTGTGTTTAATGTGTGTGTGTGTGTGTGCGCGCTCGTGCAAGCCGAATTTTCGGTTCCATATTTTTTTTTCTATATTAACAATCTTACACAGACAAATCTTAGCTGCTTCTTCTGACAGAATGAATTGAATTTTCGAAGAAAAATCGAATTGGTCACCGAGTTAGCTCAGTCGGTAGAAGGGCAATGTCTCACACTGCTACTCCGCGATGATATGATTTCAATGCTGTCTCTCCGAAACTCAAAGACCATCATGCGCGTGCGATGCGGGGCTTTCGTGTGCTTACCTAATGTTTATGTTGGTCGTGTGTTGTGGATAGTACAGCCTTTGGGGCACGAAAGTTCAATTTTAAGTATAGAGTAACATTTAATAAGAAATTCTGCGTTTGATAGAGCTTCATTATAATAAATAAAAAAAGAAATAAAAATTTTTCTGTGATGTTTGCCTGTAGTTTAAATAACCTTTGTTATTAGTTTGTTGAGGAATGATAGTGTTGATTTGTGATTGGGTCCAAAAGCGAGTTAACGATCTTGTGCTCATGAGACACTTGTGCACTTCTCTGGTCTGGTCTGGTCTCATTCTTTAAAAAATCGTCTCATTTTTTCCGTGATGCAAGCTTAATAAATTGTTTTCACAAGAAAGTTATTCGTTGGTGTTTGCCTGGCTTGCCTTCCCGAACCCAAACGACATGACATGCTAAGGTAACCTTGTGATTCAACCTTTATACCACACATGCCATTACAGGCCGTAACAACTGGCAACACCAGCCTAAGACCCAGGCTGACGCGAATGGCAGCATCGTCTAGCCTTGTGCCGTGGGTGATGTTGGGCATTGCCATCGGTCATTCTGAACCGAGTTCGCTTCTTACTGGGGCTTTATCGAATATCGTAGCATTCGTTTAACTGCATTATTCGACGCTAGTACGTTCCAATTTTTTGCAGCTTAGCATGGATGGTAAGAACATCAACATAGATTGCTACCCAACTGTTGTAGGTCAGGGTGCCTAAGTTGTCAAAATATATTCCGTTTTTTGGCAGAACGACTCTTGTAAAGATAACGTGGTGGTGGCTGTGTGTATGTGAGTGTGTGTGTGCGTGTGAGTGAGTGTATGTGTGAGTGTGTGTATGGTGTGTGTATTTGTGTGTCTATTTTTTTCTTTCTTAGTTAATAGTCTTTAAGAAATTTATAGTGGTGATTTGCATATTTCATCAATAATATTTTTATGCTCATTAGCATTTACCATTTACCAAATATTTTAGCATTCATCATTTTTCCCTTTTATATATTTCAGTTATTTCAATCTTATTCTCTGTTCTGTGTTTATGTTTGTGTGCATGAGTAAGTTTTATAAATTTCATTCATTATTTATGTTTCACAGATATTTCCATCAGTTAGCCATATGATGCCTTATTTGTTCACAAATGAATAATTTTTTTCATTATAGTTTTTCAACCCATCTGTTTATTTGTTGCATAATAACATGCATGCATGCATGTATGTATGTATGTATGTATGTATGTATGTATGTATGTATGTATGTATGTATGTATGTATGTATGTATGTATGTATGTATGATTGTATGTATGTATTCTTGATTTATAACTACGATGGAGCCATTATTTTTCTATGTTCAATTTTAGTGTTTGTTAGTGGTCTCGCACAGACAGATGTTTTAAAGCTCCATCCAAGATACAAAAAGAATTATATTTTTGAAAAATAATTGAAAGAGATAGTTTAATATATAATCTGTCAAATGAGTCTCCTGATATGTCAACTATTTTTGAAATCAGTTCATTTAAAAACCTTTCAGCTTCCCCGTCGATTGGTCCAAATGCTTCTTTACAGATTGGTTGGAATATTTTATTATTATCATAGAGTTGAATGTTTATTATTTTTGAAGGCAGCTTTCAAGGCCACTCAGCCGATTGATGTGAAGGCAATATACCTATCAGCCATAGTGTGGGGAAAAGTAACATCCCAAACCAGCGAACGTCCCATAGCCCATGGTGAAATCGTGTATCCATCAGGTCTGAAACTCCCTTCCTCTACCAGACCCACTGATTTCTTTATCACAGGAATACTAGCTTTTGAAAGCATCTCACGATAAAATTGTTTACAGCGGAATGTCTAGCCTAGGCGACATGATGGGCTGTGATAACCCAATGGCTCGAATTTGGAACCACATTAACATTAAAACTCTGTTACAACTGGCAAACCGAGTCTTAAATCCAAACTAACGCGAGTGAAAGAATCATCCATTCTTGTACCACAAGCGGTATTTGGGATCGCTTTCAACCAGGCTTATCCCAATTCACTTTTTAGAGCCATCATTCTAGCTTTATCATAAGCCGAGCAGTTCAATTTCAGCAAATTTTCATATGATTTGCTGATTGCTGATGCATTCCAAACTTTTTGAAACTGAGTTTCATAACCGAAAACATTTCCATAAACGGCGCGCCACTTATCATACACCTGGGTTCTGATGTTGTCAGGATAAGACTTGTCACTAAACAATAACAGTTCCTGGAGGGTCGCCGTAGCAGCAGCAGAAGCCAAGAAGGCAGAATGTGCCGGCTCAGCCACGGAGCCCAAACCCAGGTCACCAACACTGATTGGTAAAATGGCTTGCTGCCACACCTTTTGGTTTAATGACACATTAAATACCGTTTGGAATCCGTCACGGAGATATTGATCAAAACATTTTAATATTGATTCATCAGGGTTAGGTGACGTTCTTGGGAAAAACGTAAGGCGGGGCAAGTAAGCTGCGTGCAGAATAAGTATCATAGCATCGTGCTTAGAAATAATACTCAAGCGCTGCATAATAAATTTGAAATTTTCCAATTTTTTATTCCAGAAATTATTTTGACCTTCCCCTGACGAAATATTTGCACCAAGAAACTCCATGTCGTTTATTGGTAGTCTATCGGTGTGGTGGGGAGTATTTAATGTAATGGATCTGAATTTCTAGAAAACAATTCACATTTTTTATAATTCAATTTTAATCCCGTGTCAGATTTATGTATGCATGTATGCATGTATTGTATGTATGCATGCTTATGTACAAGCCCGTTGTTAAAAGCAACAGTCATAAAAACCAGCATTTTGCCCCAAATCGCTTGTCAATGTTAGTTTATGGTTCTCGTACGGAAGGGCGTTTGGCGATATTTTCTAAAATACAAAAGCATTATATTTTTGTAATAACATAAAAATATTTTGTTTAGTATAAATTCTATCATTTGGACCGCCTGATATTTCAACTGTTTTTCAGCTTATATTATCAATAAAAAATTATTTCTTTATCAATGGATCTAAACCTTTCAATGACAAAAGAGTTTTGTCTTGTCATTTAAATCTTTATATTTATTATTTTTAAAATCTGCAGCTTTTATTGCAACCGAACCAGACTCAACAGATATGTAGGTTATATACATTTCGGCTAGCTTGTGAAGAAGCGTCACATCCCACGCTAAACAACAACAACCACGGAACTAGAGTGTAACCATCTGATCTGTTATTACTTTCAGAAATTAGGCCTGCAGGTTCCTTTACGGCGGGTATATTAGCTTTCTGAAAAAGCCTACATAGGTGATCATTCATAGCCGTATGTCGTGCCTGTCTGCCTGAACCCAATCTGCACGACAGACCATGATGACCCAAAGGGGAAATGTCGGTACCACATAAACACCTGCATCCAGAAACCACCGGCAATCCAAATCCTGAGACAAAGACTAACTCTGATGGATGCACCGTCCAGCCTTGTACAACACGCGGTGCTAGGAATTGCTCTTATCTAAGCGGAACCAATTTCGCTCTTCACAGCCATCAATCTGGCTTTATCTTGAGGCGAAACATTCAGCTCCTCCAATCAAGCAATTGACCTATTCAAAAATGGATCATACCGTTTGTTCCATTTTTTGTGAACAGGCGTCTATGTCAATTATCAATTATGTTGCCACATGTGGAATACCAATAATTAAACATTTCAACCCTCAGATGGTCTTCGAATACTCCATCATTTGGCAGCATCCTGGCTTGAAGGGTCGCCGCGGCTGAAAAAAGCAGATGGTGCCAAATCAGCCACAACGCCTAAACCCATACCGCCAGGCAAAATTGTCTGACTCCAATCTTTATCAAAAAAATATTGAAAATAGATTGTATGTATGTATATATGTATGTGTGTGTGTGTGGTGTGTGTGTGTGTGTGTGTGTGTGCGTATATGTATGTATGTACGTACGTACGAGCGTGTGTATGTATGTTTGTTTGTATGTATGTATGTATGTTTTGTTTGTTTGTTTATTCGTTTGATCGTTTATTCGTTTGTTCTTTTGTTATTTGTTTGTTTGTTTGCCGCTGTGTATCATTGCAAAACATTTCTATTCTATTTTGTTTTATTTTGGTTTTTAATTTGTAGTATAAAGAATAACAATTAATTGAAGATTTTTAGATGTCAGTTGCTTTTAATGTTTTCTTCTTTTTATTCATACATTTCTCTGTGATGATGTTTATTGTACAATAATGAAAATCTTTTTGTTTTACAAAACAATATAAGAGGTAACAATTGCAACGTTTTGTAGTTTTAATTTTCAGTTGTGTATAAGCATGTGTTAGTATGTGTGTGTATATATATATACACGTGTATGTCTGTGTGTGTGTTGTGTGTCTATTTGTATTTTTGTATGTGTGTGTGTGTGTATTTATATATAATTTCATAGATTCCTGACCACAAAATCATTGTTAGTTTTTGAAACATTAACAAGACGCACCTCCGAGTTTCATGTTCGACCATTTTTGTGATGTTTTACTTTCAAACTCTATTCTTGTTTACTATTTTAAGTTGTGGACTTTTCAGAATGCCGATTTTGAACAGCCGTCTAGTTTGAATTAATAAAAAAAATGATTATACCTTTAATAAATTCTGACATTTTTTACCTATGTTTGATTTAATTCATTAACACACTCTTTGTTTATTTACGCATTATTTGGGGAACCTTATGTCTTATTATTTATTAGTTCACTTGACTTTTTTTAATTTTCCCATAATTTTTTATTTCATCTATTTCAGATCACCGGCTCATATTTGCCAAGAAAACTTTGATTAAAAAATGCATATTATATTATTCGAAGGTGTTAATACGTCAATTATATTTATTTTTCAGTCCATATTGAGGCTGATCAAACAGTTGACAGAAGATTTGGAGAAGGAAACCGTCAAAAAGGTTTGCATCAATAAATCTGTTAATCACTCAGTCAATCAATCAAATAATCAGTTTTATATATATATATATATATATATATATATACATATATAAATATATATATATATATATATCAGTTAATCAATCATTCAATCTGTCAGTCAGTCGTTCAATCAATCATTTATTCAATAAATAAGTAAATCAGTCAATCATTTAATAAACCTGTCTGTCATTCATTCTTTCAATCAAACGATCGTCCCATTTTGATTCTTACCATTTATTCCTCATTTGCGTTATTTAGTAAATAGATATTGCTGTTCTCGCAGTAATATTTAGCTTATTTAGCCATGTTGTACGTGCTCACGTAATTATGCAGTCATCGAATGCTCTTCTGCTACTGTTTACAACAACTTAATATTCGTTTTATTTCTTCTAATTACCTTGTCAGGCTGTTTATTCGTAATAAAAATTTAGTTGTATTGATGTAGTGTAATGTCTTATTAGTAGTTAGATGCACGTTAATAATTTCGATATTTTCATTATCTACTTTTCACATTTTTATAAACATTTCCACATTTGAATTGTGGCAGTTGAAATTGGAGGACCAATCGAGTTTCGTTATAGACAACCAGCTGTCATTTGCCGAGCATGTTATCAAGCCCCTCATGAGAAGAAATTATATCGTGCCTATGGTTAGTCGGTTGGTGGGTGGGTTGGTTAGTTGGTTGGTGGGTTGGTTGGTTGGTTGGTTGGGGTTGGCCGTTTGGTTGGTTGGCTGGTTGGTTGGCTGGCTGGCTTTTAAAAGCTTTCAATTCTTCTAAGAAATGTCAATTTACATTGCATATTTTACTGCTGTGAGTTGTTAGTGAGTGAATTCATTGAAAGATTCTGATTGATTGCTTCATGCTACATTGTATTTGGTTGTTAATCTTAACATAAACTGCAGTAATTCGTGCATATTTTTGTGTTCTTCGTCACAGTTTGTGTAATGTTTGTTGGTCTGTTTGCTTGTTTATTTGTTTGTTTGTTTGCTTGTTAGTTTGTTTGCTTGTTTGTGTGGTTGAAAATCTTACAGATGATTTATTAAGAATCGTTTGGTTTCTGTAATGGAAAATTTAAAGTGTTAGCAGTAATGGATGGTGTTTTATTGCAAATATAATGGCCACTGAAGTATCATTACGTAAAGTTTAAACCTCACATTTACATACTGGCCTGCCTACATATCTACATACAGTACTTGCTTTTTTTATTTTCAAAAATTTATTTTAAACCTATTGTTGAAAAAATGAAATAGGTTTCTAGTTCATGTAGAGTATTGCTCAAAATGATTGGTAATACTAATTGAAGATTACTTTCTAAAAAATAAAAATGTTTAACATGTTAATAATTTTTATTTCTGTTGAAAATTTTTATGGAGGTATAACATTAATATCAAGCCTATAGTTGAAAGATAAGTAAGCATCTATTAAACCCAAAATGTATTTGTATGTCTGTTGATATGTTTTTGTTTGTCTGTGAGTGCCTGCTTTTATTTGTGCATGTGTTTGTGTTGGTGTGTTTTTGTTTATGTTTGTTCATATTTGCTTTTGTTCATATTTGAATGTGTGTGTTTGTGTACATGATTTAATGTTGTGTGAGATATCTTTCAAGTTAGCGAATAATTTTTTGCTTTTTTCTTTGATCATCATATTTTTAATGTTCTGTCTTGTTGGATGAATCTGGTAATAAATGAAAATAATTGTTTGATAACAACAAATCTATAATATTTATGATTTAATATTAACAGAAGATTTCTTAATTAATTAAAATGCAATGAAATATGATAATATTTATTTTTAAATAATTTAAGATAATTATTTAGGAATCGGTGAAAAATAACGTCTGCCCTTTCAACTTTCCACGTCAACTTTAAAATCCTCAACCACATTCTTCCATTCTTTTATGTTGATTTTTATGAAGGTGATTTAAAAATAATAAGAATTCCACTAGTAAAAAATTATTGATTGCGTTTGCATCGGGTTCATATTCATTTGAACATTCATTTCTTCAACTCATATATGTGCGCTAAGCAAACATGCACACGCACATAAATCGATACATTTCATTTATACTTATTTGAACATTCATTCAACACACACACTCTTAAATTTCAACACACACACATAACATTCAACACACACCCACAAACAGCACAAAGTTCCTCTTCCTTATGGATTTGTAGAGAAGATTGCCAGTCGAATCCAGATTTTCAGACCAAGTCAGTTTGTTGTCCATTTGTATATTGTAGATCATCATTATCGTCATCGTAGTCGTCGTCTTTGCTATCATCATTATCATCATCATCAACATGTAATTTTATTTTTTTCCTCAATCATTACCACCATGTGGTTATATGCTCACCATTGATCTGATTGTACTTATGTAAACGCTCGTCTTGGTAAAAACTATCTAAAGAAATATTAAACTCATGTTTCATTAGAATTCAAGTCTTGTACTGCTGCCTTAATACTTTGTCCATGTTGCTGTTGTTGCTGCTGCTGCAGCCGCTGTTGTAGTAGTTGTAGTTGCTCTCAGACTAGTTTTTCTCCAGTATGTAACAACATTTCTGCTGCCTTCAATGGGCGTTCGCCGTTTTCACCGAGATCATTGCCCAGTTCATACCTTCTATCATTAAAAATTGTTACCCATTTGGCGTTAATCAATTTTTTAATGATGGACTCAACGACACACATTTTTTCAAAATTACATATATATATTTTTATTTATTTATTTAATTGTTTATATATATATATTTATTTATTTATTTATTCATTCATTCATTTGCAAACAAGCAGTAAAACTTTGTTATAGCTCAGTCTTCTGACGCATATCATTGGTACTCAGTGTAAGATCCAGCATACTTTGTAAATAACAATTTGACATTTTAAATGCAGAAGCCAAAGTGCACAAACAATTTTTGGATGAAAGTAACTAATTTTGACAAGTAAAGTAATGAAACAAGTTATACAGAAAATGAATTACTATCCACCTTTGTTAAATTTTGACAAAAATTTTTAGCCCACAAGCACTTTGACTTCAGGGTTGATTGTTCATAATTTTTTTCACATGCAAACGTTTGACATTTTATAAAGTTTCATTACAATACTTGTAATGTTTGTTAACAAAATTGTCAAGCTAACAATGAAAGTCGACAGCTTATCCTCACTGAGGCAACAAAAAAGTGAAATTTCCTGAATAATGAATAAATTATGTTTATATAAACACCATATGTATGTTAATTTACAGATGTTTTAATTGCTTAATTATCTTCAACAAGTGCCTCTTATTTTAGGTAATTTAATGAAAATGTTGTTTATTTACGGACATTCTTGTACTTTTTATTCAATGTAAATAAGTAAATTGTATTTCAGCTGCTGGTATCGTAATCACATTACAGGCAACAACTTTAAATTCATAAATGTTGATACATTATATCCTACTGTGAGATTTAAATGAATTTGTTATAACACAGTTTTATTTATTTATATGTGTATTTATTGATATATGTATTAATATGTAATAAGTATAGATAAATATGTGTGCATGTTGTGTGTATAGTGTGTATTTGTTCTTAATTTGTGTTGTGGAGAAACTGAAAGTTAACATGGAATAAGCTGGAAGAATATGAATGTACAAGTAAAGGGTGGATGGTGTGGTAAGTATGGAGGGCTGACTTACATGGAATATGGCACAGAGAAGGATTGTTTGTTGAAGATTACAGAACTTTCGATTATATTTCATGAACTGGCTCAATCAAATAATACACTTGAAAATTCAATGTTAATTGAAGGATATTTTCGTGAACGGAATTCTTACTGGATTAATATAGAGTCTAGAATAAATTTGAGGAGTTAATACTATTGGTTGATATCAAGAAAATACTGGAGAATACATGAAAAGTTTTACGTGGCAGAAAACCTGAGTTGTGCATCATATGAAAACGGAATGTCTTTGATCTAGTTGATGAATTTAAAATAGATAATGAGGATGAGTGAAAATGTTTGTGTGAAAAAATGTTTGAGTGAAAAAATACTCAGAAAATGTTTGATTTGTCTTTAAATTTTGTAACTCATGTGATAAACTGTTGTTACTTATATTGAGAGCGAGATTTACTCCAACGAATGGACCAGAGCAACCATTTAAAGACTCGTCAACAACTCCTGGATTGCAGTTTTAGACTCGGTCTGAGTACTAAATCTTTGAAAGTTAATCTTGATGTTGATGATAATAACGATAATGTGTGTGTTTGTGTGCGTGTAGTGCGTGCGTGCATGTGTGCGTGTGTATAGTATATATAAAATTAAGCATAGGTAGGTAATTGTAGTGGATAAAAATAACTTAATTTAGTTTGATTGATAGTCATGACGAATAAATAGTACACAATAATATAAAGGGTAGAAAAGATAATTAGGTTTTATTAAATACAATTTATACAAGTGTGCAATGCAACTCAAAACATTACAAAATATGTACTAAATGTGAAAGTAAGGTTGTTCTTCTGATAAAAAAGCAACATGTTTTATAAAATTTATTTGGTCAACTTTTGACATAATCATCACTCAATGAAAAATCAAAATTTATTCACCACGTGAGCAAATCTTATTGCAGTATTTCCAGCTGTCAGAAATGAATTCACAGACATGAAATGTGATAAGTTACTAGTTACCTGACTATTACAAGAGAACTAATGACCGAAAAGACTTGATATTTTTACTAGAAATTTAACTTTTTAAGTAATAATTAAGTAATACTTATGTGTTGAATAAAAGAAAAATATATAGCACAGGTAGGAAATCATTGTACTTTCTGGCTTGGAAATTGTACTGCCTTGATCAGAGGGAAGATATTTATGGGAAGGTATATATCTAGGTCAAAGTTAAAATAGGTAGACGAATTTTAATTATGTTAATAAATTAGTGAATAATTCAAATTAGAATTTAGTTTTGATGGCCTTTGTTCATCCCGTTAATCTCAGGCTGTTGTACTATGTAGTTTATTTCTATTAAATATCGTTGAAGGTATAATTAGATTAAGTACTGATGTTGTCCCTTGTCAATGTTGATTTGTTGAAGCAATGGTTTTTTTTTCTTTCATTTGTTTATCTCTCTCCTTTCAACATAATTAGGGCACTTTTCATGTCAAGTGGACTATGTTGTGAAACTAATCTCTGTTCCTTAATTTTAATGAAATACAATTTTTCTTTAGATTTTATTTTTTCATTCTTGATAATTTTGATTCATATTTTCATACTTTTTAGAGTCCACTTCATCTACATTTAAGAATTATGCAGTTTCAATAGTTCTAACAATAAAGTTATATTATTTGATATTTACCATTGACAAACATTCCTTACTTATTTATTCAATCATATGAGTGAAAGTGATCAAAAATTTAAATAAACCGTACACAGCTGTAATAAATTAATCTATCTTTTTATGTTTTATTTATATTTAAAGAGTTAAACAAAACTGATTAAATTATATTAGTAATACAAATTTGAATAGTCATTTTTGATGAATTGGCAGGTCACAGACTGTCGAAGGGTCTCTCCCCGTCTTTGTCCCACGCCATCAAGATGCCCGACCTCTGCTTCCTGAGGACCAGCTTCAGAAACACGTTGAAGTACAAGAGGAGTAGGGAGGGAGGGCATGAAGAATGTTGTGGCTCTCTTGCTGATGAGCGTGCTGTCGGTACCACAAATTATGATGATAATAATAATGACATTAATACGACGGTGTTTGGTCATGTTATTGTTGTTAATGCTGATGATTCCAACAATGTTTCTGTGATAAGTGATAATAATATTAATAAGAATGACAATAAGAGCCATCAAAGTGATAAGTGTAATGACGAAACGAAGACAACCAAGTCTCCGACTGGAATTGATTCCACCTTCAAGATGGGTGACAGTGATTTCAATAGTAGTGTGGCCGTTAAAACTGGTAACAACATTGACAGTGTTAATAATAACAATAGTTTCTGTGACATCGGTGATAGAAACCAAAGCATTAACAAGGGCGATTTTGATGACAACCTGTACAAACACGCTGAACATGACAGCACATACTCAAGTCTCTTCATTGCTGACAGTGGTTATGAGGACGATGATGAGGAGGATGATACGTTCACTGTGGAAATAAAGGTTGTTGTGGTCGTTTTGCCGATCATTGTGGTGGTTATTATTGTGGTCCTTGTGGCGATTATTATTGTGGTCATTGGGGTTGTGATTATGAAAAAATTTTGCCTGAGGTGATAATATTGATTGCATTGCGAGTGTTATTCATTGTAAAGTGGATTTAATATTTGCCATCTTTATAAATAATAAGAAAAAATAGAACAGTAATTATGTTAGTGGGTTTTTGTGTATGTATTTCTAAGTGATATTTAACACCAGAATTTAAAAAAATAATTTTATATATTTTTTATAGTAATTTCAAAAATTTAAGTAGCTAAAATACCTATGAATATAATAATATTTTAATAACATAATAATATTATAATAATAGTAATTATTATACAATTATTACTGTTATTGAAAAAAGGGTTAAAAGTTAATATTGGTAAGACGAAGGTAATGGTGAGTGGGAAAGGTGGGGAGCAAGTGATAAGTAAAATAGACCCCTGTGGGGTATGTGACAGGAGAGTGAAGACTAACTCGGTATTGTGTATAGGATGTCAGAAGTGGGTGCATAAGAGATGTAGTGGTGTGAGGGGGGCACTGAAAAAGGTGGAAGGCACGTTCAAATGTAAGAAATGTGTTCATGGTGTGATTAATAGGACGGATGCAAGGACGGGATTGAGTGGTGGTATTGAAAGAGTGGAAAGCTTTGTTTATTTAGGGGTTAAGCTGAACGCGGATGGAGGATGTTTGAGCGCTGTTACGGCTAGAGTTCGTATGGGATGGATGAAATTTAGGGAACTTGGTGGTGGGGTATTGTGTGGAAAGTAATGGTCAGTGAAGATGAAAGGGAGGGTATATAAAGCATGTGTGAGAGCAGCGATGGTACATGGTGGTGAAACTTGGGTGTTGAGGAGAGAGGAGGAAAGTGTACTGCAGAGGGCTGAAAGAGCTATGGTGAGGATGATGTGTGGGGTTAAAGTGAAAGGATAGGAGGAGTAGTACAGAGCTGATGTCGATGATGGGACTGAATGAGGACATTGTGACATTGATAAGGAGATCGAGATTGCAGTGGTATGGACATGTGTTGAGAAGGGATGAAAGGGTCGGGATTAGGATTAGTCCGAGGTTGAAAGAGTGATAGGAAGGGGTCGTCCGCGATTTGGATGGAGAGAGCAGGTGGAGAAAGACAGAGTGAAAGCGGGGTTGCGTGATACTGAGGCGAGTGACAGATGTGAATGGCGTCGAGGGGTATTTCGGTTTCATCATAGGTAGCCAAACGGCAACCCCCGATCTCGGGGAAAATGTCGTCTAAACGTGTGTTGTTGTATTACTGTTATTTTTGCTCATACTGTCAAAAGTTATCTTCATTCTAAGCATTATCACCAATCATTTTGATGTTTTTTTATGAGATGCTTTAGCAATATAATTGATAAAAATCTAGTGGTCTTGAATTTTGCTCATTTTACACATACCATTATAGTGAAATCATTGATTTTACAATGTACAATGACTTTACAATGAATGACTTTACAATCTTTACAATGAACAGCCAAAGTGGGGTTTCCTGCCAAAAATCAGTGATGATTTCGAAGTTAAGAAATATGTTTGCCGCTACTGCATGCACCAAGCCGAAAAGGTTACCATCGTCTTTCTTGTTTTGTTTACGTGTTGTGGTGTCTGATTTTTCGCTGTCGTAACAAGTATTTTGGACTTGTATGTTTGTGTGTCGGTCTGTTTGGGTCTGTTTGGTATATGTTTGAATGTCATTCTAATTTTTATATTTGAAGGTTGGTTGGTCTAACAATTGTTGATACACAGATATGTTATTTAGTTCGTTTGTTAGTATGTGTGTTATGTAACGATATTTTGCTGATATGAAGGTATATTGGTATAAGTATATAGGTTTGTTATTTTTCATATGTTTTGTCAGCATAGTGTGAATATTTTAATGTTTCGTCAGTGTTGTGTTTAACCACCTGTGCATTTCTACATTATTTCCTTTCCCTACAAAAGTAACACCGAATTACCTCAGCATCAACCACCACGTGTAGTGTACACAAATAAGTTCATTTGGAAATAGGAAAGATGACTGAACTGATGGATTATCTGGGATTATGATGAACCAGTGTACAAACAAAAAAGATATAAAAATTTTTAAACTGTTGTAATTATTTTGGTGAAGGTTGTTGTGATGAAAATTCTCAGAGTAAAATAGATTTCTTGCAACCATCTAGCTATTTCATTCGTAGGAATATAATAATCCTGTTTATTTTAAGTGCAATTAACTGCCTCATGTAATTGTATAATTTCCATTATCTATCAAACAAGTCATTTATATTATGCTGTAGATGACTACTACAAACCATAGTTTTGTTCTTCTCTATGTTTTCATTGCCTAGCTAGCAGCTCCATATATAACACAATTTGTGTTAGAGTAATGTTGAAAGCGGAAAACAACACTTGTTTGTGGTTCAAGGAATGGTATATAATGAAAACGAAATTTCTAAAAAAAATTAAAGTTACTTTTGTGTTGAATACAGTTGTTCAGTGATTTGTTAGAACAGAAATTAAAAGTATTGTTGGTGTGGTGAGCAAGTTTGTGGATGAATATAATCTGTATAAGGAGGATGAGAGTTCTATTATAACTCTTTTGGAAGTCTTTCATGGAGCAACACGGGTTAAATTGAATTCTGATCAGTGAAGGTATTGTTTTATTGACGCTGTCATCCGTCTGGGAGATGTTAGCAGTTTAACTAATGAATACGTTGGTATGGGTTTATAATCAATTCTAGCTTGTCAAATTATTTTCATTTCTTTATAATTAAAGAATCTGTTAGTACCAATAAACAAGCAGGCGGGAAAATGTGAGATAAATTAGGAGATGTTCCAACATTTTCAAATACTGGAACCCAAAGGCATAACTACAAAATAATGTTTTCTATTATTTTCAGCCTTAAAATTGCGTCTTTTCAATCCAACCGACGGCAACAGTGCGGTTTTGTAGTATGTTCTTCATTGTTAGTAAGATATTTTATTTTTGTATGTGTCTATGTAATTTTAATTTGAATGTCAAATCCTCACTTTCAGTCTTTGAAACATTTTCAAATAATTGTGTTGCTGTCTGAAAACTTTTTCCACACATACCGGTCCAGGTTTTCTGCTTCATAATATTCTTGTCTATTCTTGCAGACAGTATTTATCATTATATTTTTTTTTGTACTGTTTTTATTTTTTGTTGGCTTCTGTTACTTTGGTTCTGAAAAAATTGTTTTATTTGAATGCTTTTTCTGAGTTTGTTGATATACATTACACCACTGTTAACAATATTGTAAAACAAACAATTTCAATTAGATGTCAGAAAATTATTCAATGCTTTCATGAGGTCATCTTTAAACATCCATTCACTAACAAACAGCTCACACGCGTTCACCAGCGTACAACAGCTCACATGCACTAATATACACACTTAGTACGTTCATTCAAACCCAAGAGGTATTGTAGGCCTCGGCGCGTTAGCTCAGACGGTAGAAGTGCCGTCTCGTGCAATTACGCGATAGCCTGCTTCGAATGCTGTCTGTCCGAAACTAGAAGACTATCATACACCACGTATGTATATGCGGTTTTTGCGCGTGCACAAAAAATGAGTGTGCACGTCGTGTGGTGTGGATAGTACAGTTTACGTTCAACCTTTTTCTAAATGATTTTAGTATTTTCTGTTTACTCTTGACCTTTTTCAAGTTTCTATCTTGATTACATGAGTTTTTTCCTTATTGTTGAATACACCAACGATGTTCAGCCGCTAAGATGATTGTAACGTTAACGTGATTCTCTTTCATATTGACACATACGAGGTCTTGCAAATGTGTTTCTTTTGGTTGTTGTCAGATTCGTTTATGAGATGAATGTTCATCATCATCATTATCAGAATGTTGTTGAAAATAAATAGAGTCCAGTAAATATTGTTGAAAGCAACATTTACTTGCAGCTTATTTCAACGGTTGACACTTGTTACACTGGTAGGGTGTTCTACATCAGGCCGAATTAATTCATGGTGATAAATAATAATAATCTGATTAAGTCATTGTTTCATTGAAAGATGATGATGGGACAACTGAATCATAAGGACAACCCACGCTGCATTTCATTTTATTTACATTTTCTAAAATATTTTATGCGTGCGGATTATTGCTGATCAATATGATCGTTCTAATAAATCTCTTGATCCATTCACGTTGTTTGTCATCAGTGCTTATTAGTGCATTGAGTTTTTGATTTTTCTGTTAATTTATTCGTTTAGGTCAAACGATTTTCTGCCAAACAAAGTTGTGAAGCATTTGCTCTTTTGCGTTTTAATTGAATTGAGGTTGCGTCACATGCATGCTACTCGTATGCAAATGTCTTTTCATTTAAATCTTTTATGATCAAGTCGGTTGAATTCGAATTAAATCGCGTTTGAAATTTTTGAATTTGTTAAGTTGTCCAGCTTTTAAAAATGATTTGAATTCCTAACAATTAACAGTTAACTTAGACATCTTTATTCAATACTGAGTTATATTACTGCAGTATATATTATCTATCACTAGTATCTTTTATTTAGTTTCATCTTTCTTTATATGCAATACTAAAGTATCAGATAGTATTAAATTACTGTGTCTTGCAGTTTGTTTCAAACTGATGTTTGTCAAGAAGGATTTGAATTTCCACATTTTTTTGTTGTTGATTGAATCATTTTCAAAAGTATGCAGCTGAATGTTTGAGATGTGCAAGTTGGGATATATAAGTAATGGGAATTTTTGGAATTTATTTTAAAAGTACAACTCATCATGTATCGTCAGTTATTTTTGGATTCGTCAACAAATTTGTCAGAATGTTACTAATGTTTTTTTGTGTAGCATTTCATGTGGTGTATTTTTTCTATTTGTACAAAGTGTCTTTGTTATATTGTTGTGTACTTATAACGCCTACTATCTACGTGTTGCTCAATGCAAAGATCTGGATTGAGGATAACTGAACCGTGCATCTAGAATTATCCATGGTGGTACATGATATCAAAAGTATCTAATTGCAGTTGATGTATTTCAAGATTGGAGAGAATATATAGCGGGTGAAACCATGAATGAAATGTAAGAATAACCGAATGGAAGGATTATTTCAATATCTGTCACCAATCTATTGAATTTATGATGAAGTTGAAAAGATGTTGATAAGTGGAGGTGATGGGCGGTTACACATCATAACTATCAATAAATATTTTCTTATTTAGAAGGCTTATTTCATGCCTACAACATCCTCTACTTTTAACAGGTTACATCAGGAAAGTATAAATACAAAAGTCAGTTCTGTCCTATTGACTTTTTCTCAGGGTGAGTAATTCATTTGATGATGGTTCAATGATTCGTTTTTTTAAGTAGTACAGGTGCAATACGCGCTTATTTAATGTAAATAATTATAACGTGGTAACAAACCTTTACTGTGATGAGATAATAAGAGCACTACAATTAATGTGTTGTGATATTTAAAGTAGATAACGTGTCTCTAGTTTGTGGTTTGTAGTAGCTATGAACGAGTCTGAATTTAATGTTCAATGAATAGATTATTAACGTTTATACTTTATAGTACTGCAGCCGTTTAGGATGATCAGATAAAGTTAAAATTTTATATTCATCTATATAATCAACTGATTGATTTGAAATATTTCAAATTAATTTAAATTGTCTTGTTGACCATGTCGTAACTGCCTCACAAGGTGTCGGACAAGAATGAGTCATTCCATTGAAAGCCTGTTCAAAAGTCCACAGAACAACTGCAAAGTGTTTCAGGTCGGTTCATTTTTATCACCTGTTTAGATTTTTCATTCAAGTGATCTCTTCCATTGCACCATCTTTCAATTTCCTTTAATTTAGATTTTCTGTCTGACTGTTTTAATTGGTGCTTGACCAATAGAATTGTGGTGCATTTAATTTATTTATTGCAACTTGCTTTTGTGCTAAGTTGATTAAAATTATTTTTATAGTTCAGCAAATAATAAATCTATTCATTCTATTGACTCTGTTCATTTCTGTTATTAATTACTAGCACAAAAAAGTTAATGAGAACAAATTATATTTTTGTTTACAGAATGGCCACATAATTCTGAATGAATTCAAAAATGAAAATTTTGAAAATGCCGTAAGAGATTGGGTAATGAGGAATTGTTCATCTTTCAATCAAACTGCCAGCAATCAATCCACATCGAGCACTGCTAACAACCAATCAACATTAACTACTGCTAACAACCAATCAACAAAAGCCGATGCAATTAACAATAACCAACCAATGGAAAACCACTGTGCTTCATCTCTGAAGCAGTCCTGTGACGAATTAAGCACTAATAACGATTGCAGTAATAATAAGGACAACAGTGCTTGTAATGATTTTGATCCCACCTCTCTGAACCAACCTGCCTTGAAACAGCTGATCAGCCTGCTGGTCGAATGTTTGCTACACGTCAATAACAATCTTAGTGGATGCAATTATGACTACGACGAGAAAAATGTTGTCGGTGTTAACTTGGATGAAGTTGATTCAAACTACGGAGATGATAACAACGATGATGGGGAAAATAGAGAATGTTGCGTCAATCAAAAAAATGATATCAACATAAAAAATTGTTGCTCTGTTGGCACAAACAATGATCAGAATATCAGCAAAGATGTTCTTGTTTACGATACCGAAAATAATGATGCTAACCAAGATGGCGGTGCTGAGGTTCTCATATGCAGGGAATCAAAGTTTTTCAAAGAGCCATGTTGTGAGAGCAAGGGTACGAAATTGCTCAACATTATTTATATTATATTTAATATTGATTTGTTTCTACAAGAATGTATCATACATGCTTTTGCGAAACGTCATTCCTTTATCTCTCTTTGCAAAACTACTTGCCCTCCGAAGCACGTTCAGATACTCATAATTGTTTTAGTGCATTGTCATTCATTCATTCATTTATTCATTCATTCATTCATTCGTTCATTGATGAATTCGATTCTTTCAACAAATGTGTAGTTGACTCACACTCAGCGTTGTTGCTACATGTGCCTGCACATCCATCTATCTCTGGATAATATCTTATTGAATTACACTTAGAGATTTTACGTTGGTGATATTTAAGAATTTGAATATTTTTAAATTGTATACCTGATTTAATAAAATGACTAGCATGCTTATGTGATGCACAACGTTCAGATGGTTCGTGCTGTGGACTGCCTTGTGATTGTGTCTTGTCCTGTGTACTCAGCTGTCAGAAACTTGATTCCAATTTAACGTTGAAGCACATCCACAACTCCTACAAAGTCGTCTGTGATTATTTCAACACTCATCATGATTCCAGGTTTGTATTTATTTCGACACCTATTTATGTAAATGTATTTCTTTTGCACTGTAAATGTTAAACTGTCCAACGCCGTAATATGATGATTTTTTATATAACATTTTGCTGTTAAAATGTCGGTTTTTATTTTTCTATATAACCACCATTTTTAAACCGCGTGATTCTTCTGTGAATAATTCTGCATGTGTTAACGCTAAGATAAAATAATGCCACAGAGTTTAATAACAACCATGGAGAGAGCATGCAATTTTTTGCCATTTAGGAGAAAAATTTTCATTTTACCGGTCTTTTTAGTAAATTTTTTTAATGTTCTAAAATTTGGTGTGTTGAATGAATAATACACGGAGGCCATGCCAGAAGGTTCTGGGGTTGCTAGAAAACACATTGAAATAATAACTTTTGTAAAATTTGAAAATTTTTGTAAAAGTTGTATCACGCAATCATATAATGTCTTTTTTCTTTTGCAAAAAAATTGGAGGGTGCAAGATCATCAACTATTTAAACACCTCACTTTAAAATGTAGTTGCGAAGCGACATAATATCTTCATGTATATTGATATATCATTATCTGTCTTGATACATCAGTCTAATGTTAATTTAGATTTTTAAGAATTAACAAAAAAATGAAACGGTTGAAAAGTTTTATTGTCTGATTGTTATTAATCATTTTAAATGCTCCAATAGTTTTAATAGTTGTAAAACATGCTTTACATTTTTCAAACGACATCCCTTGTAAATGTAGACAAAAGTGTTCGATACACGGTCCTTACGATGCAGGCTGGTTGCACAACTGCCCACTTGAAGAAATCAAAACAGAGATTCTTGATGTTAGTGCTGTTGTTGTTCTTTTTGTTGTGTTTATATTAGCTATAAATACTTCATGTCTTTATCGACATTAACTAAAAACAAATACATCTTGCTCTCTGTTTAATTGATTTTTTAATCAAAGAATGGTGATATTATTTATGCCTAATCGTTTGTACCTCAACTAAAAATTAATACGAGTTGTTTATTTATTTGCGAATGACAATGCTTTCTTATCTACTTAGCTTCCTACGAAGGTCTCAAATGACGAGCTTTTATTAAAACAAATAACAACAACACACGTTTAGACAACATTTTCCCCGAGATCGGGGGTTGCCGTTTGGCTACCTTTGATGAAACCGAAATACCCCTCGACGCCATTCACATCTGTCACTCGCCTCAGTATCACGCAACCCCGCTTCCACTCCGTCCTTCTCCACCTGCTCTCTCCATCCCAATCGCGGACGACCCCTTCTTATCACTCCTTCAACCTCGGACTCCAACGCTCGTCTAATCCCGACCCTTTCATCCCTTCTCAACACATGTCCATACCCCCGCAATCTCGATCTCCTTATCAATGTCACAATGTCCTGATTCAGTCCCATCATCGACATCAGCTCTGTACTACTTTTCCTATCCTTTCACTTTAACCCCACACATCATCCTCACCATAGCTCTTTCAGCCCTCTGCACTACACTTTCCTCCTCTCTCCTCAACATCCAAGTTTCACCACCATGTACCATCGCTGCTCTCACACATGCTTTATATACCCTCACTTTCATCTTCACTGAACATTTTTTTCCACACAATACCCCACCACCAAGTTCCCTAAATTTCATTCATTCCACACGAACTCTAGCCGTAACAGCGCTCAAACATCTTCCATCCGCGTTCAGCTAACCCCTAAATAAACAAAGCTTTCCACTCTTTCAATACCACCACTCAACCCCGTCCTTGCGTCCGTTCTATTAATCACACCATGAACACATTTCTTACATTTGAACGTGCCTTCCACCTTTTTCAGTTCCTCCCTCACACCACTACGTCTCTTATGCACCCACTTTTGACATCCTATACACAATACCGAGTTAGCCTTCACTCTCCTGTCACATACCCCACAGGGGTCTATTTTACTTATCACTCGCTCCCCACCTTCCCCACTCACCATTACCTTCGTCTTACCAATATTAACTTTTAACCCTTTCTTTTCGATAAAACTTTTCCATCTGTCAAATTTTAACTGCAATTCTTCCATGCTATCAGCCATCAAGACTAAATCATCTGCATACAATATCTCAAATAACAACCCCTCCATTATGTTTCCACACACAACATCCAACACAATTGCAAACAAAAACGGTGATAACACTGATTCTTAATGCACTCCTACCTTAACACTAAAATCTACTAAAATCATTGGTAATATATAAAGTAATAAAAAGTGAAATTCAGTTTTTAAATATTTTGAATTATTAACCATATTCTTGTTAAATTACTAAAATCCATTAAGTTCACGATAGAAAAACTAAACCATCAGGGACTTTTAGTACTTAAAGATAATGAAGAATTCCATAAAAAAAAAGTTTGAATTTATGAAAAAGCGCTATATAAACGTGTTTCATTGACTGGCATTCTAGATGACATTTCTTTTGGATGTTAGAGAGAACGGTTTATTTAGGTAGATAATATAACGGTGAGTTGAAGAAAACATAAAAATAGATTATATATTCTTTTTAATTATAAGACTAACATCAAGACTGTCCAGGTCCACTGTCGTTTAGACAGTTAATATGTCATTTGTTTTGTGATTTAAATTAAATATGGAAGAGTTATCATTTTCATAACATTGTAAGGTCTATGTAATAAGAAACACCATATTATAGCTTAAAACTATCTATACTGGTGGACATCTTTTTGGCATTTACCCCCCCTCCTTGTCCACTTTTAGCTGAACCCCCCTTCCCCCCCCTAGTGTGGACGTCTTTTATGGATGACCCCATAAAGAAATTTGTCCAGCTCAACTCACAATTAGTGATGTTGTTATAGTGTCATGTATGCTTAGCCTTTAACTTATTGACATAAAATTATCTGAATTCAATGAAAAAAATTTTCTATTTATAACATTTTTAAATGTTGATAGACGCTTAAATCCGGCCCTAAACCCGGCCACCAAATCCGGCCGGAGCCGGATTCAGCCGGATTTGAAAAAAAGCCGGATTTCGGCCGGGGCCGAACTTCGGTACATCTCTAACTGTTATATATATATATATATATATATGTTTATTTATTTATTTTTATTGATTAAATTAAATTTTCAACTTCACTATCTAATATTTAGTGATTCCGAACATTAAAACCTTAAAACCATATAAAATACTATTTACATTTATTAAAGGCATTTACTTCTCTAAAATCTCAGACCTTTCTCGTTTTATTATTGTTTCTATGTTATTATTTAGGTCAAGCTATGTTGAGAACTTCAGACTCATAAAATGTTTACCCTTTAAAATATTTCAAATTGAAATTCTTTACGGGGTTTTAACGGTTTCCAATCATTCACCGCGTTAGATCAAAAAGTTCTTGACAGCCAGAAGTGCCAAAGATTGTTCTATCATAGTGTCCTTATCATCTTCAAAATCCAAGTAAATATCTAGTACTTAAAATTCTTTTTCAATTACTTTTTTCTAATAATATTCTTAATAGATTCGGATAAAAGTAATGGATGACTAATTTATTTGATCTAATTGTAAAACCTTAAAGCTTATTTAGAATTGCCTGTTTGTTTTTGACATATCAATTTGTTAATTTTTGATCAGACGGCACCGTGACTCGTAAAAATTTTGAAACAGTAAGAATCAAATTAATTCAATATAATTTAACATGTAAATAAGACTTTAATTTATATAAATCAGAAAACATTTGGTGAAATCGTGCGATAACATATTCATCCTCGGAGACAGCAAAGAAATCATAGCCAACGTGTCAATAATCGATCTGGACATGAAGGACTTTCACAAAATTCCAAGCTATTTGGAAGAGGATCAAACAATCGTCAACTGCTATGAATCCCAACAATGTTTCTAAACTCCTGCTGCTGTCCTTTTATGTTATGCGCATTTACAAATTTATTATCAAACATTTTAATATATTCACGTTTATTACGGTAATATTGAAACAATATTATTTTTGTAATATTGATAAGATATTAGCCCTAAAGTAGAACTATTTTCATGTGATTTTTATAACATCCCCACCCGTGGAAATTGCCGTGAATTTAACAAACGTATTCATTTCTTTACTATTTATCATTCCTTTTTGTGAAATTAATTTTATTGTAACCATTTGTTTTTTTTTATTCTTCATTCATGTTATTTGCGGTGAACAATTATTAATTTGTTGTTTGTACAATTATCATTATTTCAGTCCAAATACAAACCATATAAATTCTTGAATTGATTAAATTATTAATAAGCAGGGCTGTGGTGGAGAGTATAGGATGGTATAAACCGTAAACCCTATGCTTTTCTATGTTTTATTTTAACCTTGAACTAGAGCACAAAAATATTGTATACCTCAAGCGGCCTTTATTTAGGATTGAAGTTTGCCGAAGTTGTTCGAACTTTTGAAGTACTATGGATTTCGGACAGCTTAAGGACAATAAAGCTAACTGCATGGAAATTGTATGAATAGTGCTTCAACAAAACTGTCATCTTGAAAAGCAAAAGCAAAACATTTTAACAAAAAACTATCAAGATGTTGTAAAAATTTAAATGCAGTTGAAAAATTTGTAAAATTGCTTTAGTTCTTAATTTGAAGATAATCTTATATTGATAAAACCAAATTTCTCCTGAATTAAAGCAAGACTTTACAGAATCAGATGAAGAACAGGAAACTGGACTATTGCTCAAAGATATTGCACACAAATTTATATTAGAAGATGTTTGCTAGGTAAAATCAGAAATGAAAAATATTTGTAGACAAGAAACCTTAGATTAAATTTTTTGCATTATGGTTTAGGGGTTTTATTGGTTTTACAGATTTTTCGGTTTCCAAAACATTTAAACCTTATTTATAGAGTTCAATTTAAAAAAGCACATTCAACACATGGATATATATATAATATTATAAAAATATTATTATATCCATTGTTCAACAGCCTAATACGAACCGACGAACCGTCTTTGGCTTAATGACTACTATCGCAAGTGATTTAAGATCATTTTCGTTAAAATATAATGTTTTAAAGAACAAAAATGTATTCAATCGTGGTTTTCACACCACCGATAATTAATACTAAATCAAAAGTTAATTTAAGACGCTTCCATTTTAAATTCAACAAAAATAGTTTTAAAATTTTAATTTTCGATGTTTTACATAATTAAGACACCAATGTATTTATTTAAAACACTTGTTTTTTAAATTGAATTAATGATTTTCTATATTTATAAAAATTTTGATCGTTGAAATATTATATACCCTATGCTGAATTTACGACTACAGCTCTGTCGATGTCACGTGTTCGAGTTGCCGCTTTAGGATGCAGATTTTTGATCGGAACCGTCTTCACATAAACGAGTTTTTCTATATAATTCATGTTTTGTTTCCATTAATTTTGCTTTTGTGGCTTCTAATTCTTTTTCAAATTTGATCGATATTTCTCTAACCTTTTGTAGATTCGAAGCCATCATTATAATATCGTGATCTTTTTCTGATGACAAAAATTTTAAATCTTGTTTCAAATTTTTTATTTCGTTGTCTTTTTTACTTGATTTTTCTTTTTCTGCAGCCAAGTTTTCTCGCAACTCTTTCATTATTATTGAATAGTTGTTTAAAGTATCTCCTAATTCTTTATCAAGTTCAACGTCAATCAACTTGTTTTTAACGTTTAAAATCTTCAGTGCTTTGTTCCTTCTTTTAATTATTTCTTCACTAACGATTATGCAGAAATCTAAAAGTGTGTTTTGTTTATTTATTATGGTATTCAACTTCCTCCACGACATCTTTCTGGAAGTGGGATATTCTCCATTGCATCTCATCATCACTGATTTAATTCTCATTTGCTTATCGTCCGGTAAAAAATTCAAAAGTTTCCTTTTTTGTTTATCCAATTTTTCTTCCAAATTTAAAGCCAACTTTCCTATGGTGACATCACAATCGTTCACTAAACTTTCAGCCTCTCTTAGTTTGGTTTCAATGCATTGATATTTAAACTGCCAACAGTTTTTAACAGTTTGAGTTCTAAGAACTAAAAATTCCTCAATTTTGGTTTTCTCTCTTTCAGGAAGATTTTTAGCCGAACCGAAATATTTCTGTGTGATGTAATGGGATTCATATTTTACTTGAAAATCTATGCGTATATTTCTATTTTCTGCTGCTATCTCTTGTTGCAACTCGTTATAAAGCATCGGCAAGTGTTCGCTTAAGATTTGCCAAAAATCATGAATCGTCTTTTCGTCTGTCGTTTTCAAAACAAATTCTATAACCTTTGATGCTTTCAAATCAGTGCTATCCCAAAATAAAGATGGTTCATTCTGTAAAGTTTTATTTTAAAAAATTAAAATAACACTGATCTATAATTTGAATTTTTGTCAAGTTTGATTAGAAATGAAGGAAGGTTTTGTACAAATATAATCTTAAACGGTATTTTATGTACATTTCTTGGTTTCTCACAACTTTTGACTGAACTAATACAATTTATTTTATCAATGATGAAGTTTCAAAAATAAAATCCGTTAATCGCCCTTGACATTTTATTTCTAACTGAAAATTCATTAGTGAAGGTAGGCCGAAAAATGTAAAATCATAAGACTAACTCGCCTAATTTTACCTACCTTGATGATTGGCAATAAATATTATTTGTCAGATGATAATCAACAGGATTGTCGGAAGCCAATCTGAGTCACAAGTCTACATTAGCTTCTTCACCTTAAACAGGAGATGAGAAACAGCCTGGCCCAAAACTAGAGGGGCAAAGGGGCGGAAAATTTCATGGGCGGCAAATTTTGAAAAGTTACCCGTGTGTTATAACAACACCTCAAAGTACCAGATTGATTTTTATAACAAGTTTATTAAAAATTGAACAATTTTTTTTACTTTTTAAAAATGTTTTTTCAAAAACTAAAAAATATTTTTCAAATTGTAAAAATAGTTGAAAATTGGCATAAACTTACAACGACCTTCATGGGTAAGTTGTTGAAAATTTTTGATGTAGGCGGATCTTCCAGCAAAGATGTTATTTCGCTTATCAATAACGGCTTCTTTAAACGAAAAATAAATCTTTCGTTTGCATTCATCGTTGATGTAACACAAAAATAAAATACACCGTTGCTAAAAAATATTTGTATATATATATATATATATATATATATATATATATATATATATATATATATTTATCTGCTGTAAAAATTCAAACACTTGCAGAGTAAAATTCTGATGAATTATGTTTAAAACCCATACCAACTACTAATGCAAGCGCATGTAATACGTGGAACATGTACGCATACCAATCTTCATCAGCGGACACCACTTACCATGTCACGCCATCGATCGTATCGTCGTATTCATCGGGTTCTCATCAAATATTCTCCGAAGCATCGTCATTCGAACCGTCAAAATGTTTATTAATCTGCTGAATAATGCAAAAGTATGAAATGCATGCACACTGCAGAACACGCACATCAAATGCTGCACGATTTGTCGTCGCTAGATTTAATTATGATTAATATTTACAAATTACGATTGAGCACATCTCTGTTTGTTGTGTGTTTGATCGTAGCGTATGATTTAATATATAGGGTTAGGTAATAGAAATAAAAAGAATCGAATGTTGAATTTTTTCAGCACATCGTCATTAGTTTTAATTTAACACGACTTATTTTATTATATTTACTAGCGGATCTAGACAAATTTGACGGGGGGCCAAGTTTTCAAAAATATTTAACGACCCTGGGGGGATTTTCAAATTTAAAAAAATAAGTTGACGAGCGGGAAAAAGATGATGAATTATTTACGACCGAAGGGAAATTTTTAAATAATTTTCCAAAATTAGTTGACAGCGGGGTAGCAGTTTTCAACAAAAGTTGATGATTGATGACCGGGGGGATTTTTACAAATTTTTTTGGAAATTGAATGTTCACCGCGGAGACTCAACATTTTGACGAGAAGCTAACTTTTCCGGTAATGTAGTCAAATTTTTACCATTTTTTAGAACTTATAATGTCAAGTTTTCCAACGAAAACAGCGTCTTTTACTAACTTTTAACACAAGTAACGCTCACAACTTGCCTCCTCGGCACCCTTAATCTGCCACTGATTAATTGGTCAAAATATCGGTTAACATTGTTCCGATTTTGTTTAATAATTGCAATTTTTAAATAGTATTTAAAATTAATATTAGTATTTTTTCAAAAAACGTTTGTCTGTATTTATTGATTTATAAATATTGTTGCAAACTGAATATACAATACAAGTGTACAAAATAATTATATAACTTTGAAACGTTTATAATGCAGTAAATAAAAATGTAACATTATTTAAAGGTTTTGAATCGTCAACAATTTATACTGAATTGACTCCATAGACTTATCTTATAGATAGAGTATCAGTGATGGGGTTTATCTGATTATCAGTGATGGGGAGGTGTTTTTTAAAAAGAACTCGATAGAGCTTAAAAAATATTTTGAAAATAATAAAAATATAAACTTATAATTATATAATTTATAATTATAAGTTTATATTTATAATAATTACATAATAAGTTGTCGAAAAATAAATTGTAGCATTTAAAAATATTATCATTATAAAAAACACCATAAATTATAATTGGCAAACTCGCTGTATATATAAGCTCTTGTGCTGCTCGGAAAGGTGTACTAGCTTCGGCTGTACATATACTAAAATTGGAACGATACAGAGAAGATTAGCATGGCCCCTGCGCAAGGATGACACGCAAATTCGTGAAGCGTTCCATATTTTTTTAAAGTTTATCATTATACCAAGTTTACGGTTTTTAGATAAAATCAATGCGAGGACAATTTTACAAAAATGCAAGTACTTCTTTTGCGATTTTAAAATGCTATCAGTTCAAGTTTAGAAATAACGCAAGAAATAATTTATATCGAGCAAAATAAGTTTTGTATATTTCTTTCTTAAGTATAAACTTTAACCTTATGTCATTGTTTTATTAAAAAGTATTACAGTTTTCTCAGAACATCCTTCACGTTTACGTGGAAAAATCGCTGTTGGCAGTGGATCTCGAAAATTTTGACGGGGAGGTCAACATTTTGATAAATATTTGACAACCGGGTAGGGATTTTTTTCAAAGAAGTTGACGAAAGAATGGGAATAATTTGAGGTTTTAACTGATAAAAATTAAAAAAAGTTTAATGGCGTTGGATAAATTTTCCCAAAAACATTCGATAGAGTTAATCAAGAAAATAAAAAATAAATATTCATGATTTGTTTTTTTTTTTTTGAATCTTTAAAAACAAACCTTTAAAACAAACCTTTAAAAACATTTTCAATATACATTTATTTGTTTAAAAATTCTGATTGTGTTGAAATAAAATCTTTATTAAAACACCATAAATTACAGTTGACAAATCGACTACATATATAAACTCTTGCATTAAGTACAGCGTTGTACTAGCTTCGGCTGTACATATACTAAAATTGGAACGATACAGAGAAGATTAGCATGGCCCCTGCGCAAGGATGACACGCAAATTCGTGAAGCGTTCCATATTTTTTTAAAGTTTATCATTATACCAAGTTCATTGCTTTACGGTTTTTAGATAAAAGTCAAGTACTTCTTTTGCGATTTTAAAATGATATCAGTTACAATTTTTCATTGATCTAAGAGATAATTTTTTAACATTTTTTAACAGCTTTTTGAAATTCTTGACAGAGACCAGGTTGTCGCTAGTAGCCCGGTAGACTATTCCATACTTCTTGGCCAGCAATCAATCAAGCAATTAGCTTGTAAAGCGCTATTTTCGCGATGTTCAACAGCGCTCTTTAATGAATTTTGCGAACAGATGGGATCCGCTCTGAACTTTGTAAATGATGGAGAAGTAGGCAAAGAAGTAGGTAGAGAGTTCCAGAGAAAAGGGCCAGAAAAAGCAAAATCAGATTTAGCAAAAGAGTGTTTAACACGAGTTAAGGAGAAGCGTGAACAAGAAGACAATCGTAAACCGGGGCGTTTAGGTTCAATTAATATGTCTGATAAGTATTTAAGAAATAATTTAGATTGAGACATATACATAAATGTGCAATCAAACGCTGCACTCATGTCCAAAAGCGCCAAAATAAAGACAGTTTTCGTATCTGTCATTGAAAATAATGTAGACAATTATCCAACAAAGCTGTCTCTGTTGAGCGATGTTGTTTGAATCCTGAATGATGTACAGACCACAAACAATTTTGTTCTAAATGATCAATTTTTGTTTCAATTCCAACATTGTTATCTTTAACAACATTAGTCAGCATTCTATCATTCTGGAGTACCTTCATACAGCAGTTGCAGAACCATTTTAAATTTTTTGTTTTCTTTACCAAAACGAATGAGGCATTATTTAATCTACCACAGCTTTACATTAAAAACATTTTATTTCATCTTTCTCTTCAACCACCTTCGAACACTTGAGGCATTTGACAACCATAATAAATTAGTAGATAAAATGAAAAAATCAGCCTATTCGAAATATACAATCAAATATATTGTTTCTTGAAAGTTAGCAGTCTTAAAAAAAACTATATATATTTCTCTCTCTCTCTCTCTCTCTCTATATATATATATATATATATATATATATCAACTGATGTTCGTTAGTCTTGCTAACACTCAAGAACGGCTGTACGGATTTATTTGATCGTGGTTTTGAAATGTTTGTGAAGGTCAAGGGGTAGACTTGAAAAGTGAAAAAATTTTGCATAACTGCCGGGAAAACCTTAAAAACAGCTCTTATCTTTTCCTTATATAAACGTTTTCTAAATAATCAATAAAGTTCAATTAATATGTCAATCCATCCAGTTGCACTTTAGAACACGGAAAAAAAGTGTTACGATATTGTGTTACGATATCTATGATTACGCGAGAACTTTCTTTACTTTGTTGATCCTTTGTGATAGCGACATACAGAGTAATGAGCTTTTTTTGGATATCTTGTGATTGTGACACTTTACTGCTAAGTGAGCGAGAAATTTTGTCACTTTGATTATTTACAATTTACAATGCCGAGGAGAAGTCGACCTGACTTAGGTCGTCCCAGTCAATCAAATGTTCGAAGAGCTACCTCACGTGCTAACCACACCGATGACCAGAGAGAGACAGATCAAGAAAATGGTCGTATTGCTATGTCAGAATTGCGTTATTTAGTGTGTGATAATGAAGTAGATAGGCTTAGAATGCAATGAGTGATTCTTATAGTATATTACTGTTTTTTTTGTTACTAATGTTGGTTGCATTCATGAAAATTATATATATCCATGGTTGCAATGTTGTTGTTGTTGATTGTTTTTTCTTTGCATTCTATTCTTTTTTAGATCATGGAATTTTTAATCCGTTATTAATGAGTAGTTTAGTTATTCTATCTAGTTCTGTTTTTTTGTATAACAGTTAATATTGATAAATATTTAAATATTTATTGCGATTTCATGCGATTTTTGTGTTTTATCAAAACACAATATTTAGATATAATATGAATGAAACCTTTGTTTTTTTTAAAATGTTATATATACACATAGCTGTGATATTTTACGACCAAGTTGGGTATAAAATTAAGAACTGGACTCATGTTTTGGACGTTTGTAGTCTTTTTTTTGGTAAAAGTTTTGATTAGATGTAATATACGTAAATGGCAACGAAAACATGCTAATGCTAAATTGTGAAAAAGATATGATAAAATACAGTTAGAAAAAAGCAAAAAACAGTTATAAAAATAAATGTAAAACGCACATTACGTTTTTTTCTTTAACTTCGATAATTGTGTTGTTTGATTTTTGTTTTATTCATACACACATTTTAAAAATGAAATGAATACAATTTTGTAATTTTCTTAAATGAAATAACGACGTAAAAAAATGGAAAAAGAAAATGTTTGAAAATAATTTAATTGATAAGAACCAGTCAGCAGGCACCAGCTCCCTCAAGTCTGACACTAGGTCGGACAGGGACGATCCTCGTTAAACGAACGTCTGACATCCCATTGAGAGATAATGCAGACGTGCATTTGAGTCTCACGCTCAGGAGTAGGTGCTACGACTCGTCATCCTGGTTTTGGTGTTAAAGTCAG